TTAATCACTTTTGGGCTTAAAAAGGCAACAACACATATCTCTAAAGCGCCATCCCCAGCGACTAAATGACTTACCCCGAAACGCGATTCCCGAGAGACTTTTATTGGCCGAGGCTAGTTAAAGCGTGACAAACGCTCAACCGTTTTATTATTTTGTTACAAACCTTTTCACAACGAATTGAAAAATCAATAATAAAACATGAAAAACAAATAACATGTGAAATTCGTTTCGTTATATTTGACTAACAACCCGTTGGCGGTAGGAATAATAATTAAAATAATGTCACACAGCTGTTCCCGCCCTTCTCCCTGTAATCACTGTTATCTTTAATTATTCAGTTATTTGACGCACCCGCGCATTAAAATTTATAATTATTATTTTAGTATTTCTCTTGATTTAGGTGTATTAGAACATTATTGATGATGAACGAGCGCATTGTCAAATAAATATACAAATTACAAGAATATTTGAATTATAATATTGCGGCTGCTGCAATGCTTCGTTTATGACCGTATTAATATATTATTTATATCGACACGTCACCATAGAAACAAGGAAACACTATTGCGTTAAAACTCTCACAGTTTGCATTGCACCGAATGCGTGTATAATAATACCTAATATACACAGGTCATATTATTCTATTATATTAAGTGTCTATAGTTTTCGATGTTTGCAAAAACATTACAATAATCGAAAGTGAAATAATAATGATCATGCATTTATTAATTAAAATAAAAACGCTTTTAAATTGTATTTACATTTAGGAATGTTTCAATGTAGTACATTAGATGAATAGATTATTATCTATGCTAGACTTATCTAATGCTAGCGATTTTTGTTCATCATTCTGTGCTAAATAAAAATGATTAGTTGATCTAAATTTATAGATATGCACCTGCACCTATTATAAAATATATGCCTGGTGTATATCCCATAATGTATTATAATATATAGTTAAGCTTTTTAATATTATAAAATAATATTTATGTATTTTTGTTTCTGCCCGAATACGTTAAATGAAGCATATTATGTTCTATTTTTAATTTTAATAATGTCTTCTTTTACATATTTCTAATTAGGCTTTTAACTATTAAAGTATTCTATGCTTTATTTTTATGCTTATAATATAATAATTAGTGACCTTTATAATAAAACATGTAATTAATAAACAACTTGGTTTCTCGTTTAGTCAATGGTGTGTAAATAATGATAGTGATTTTAATGTTATGAAATTAATAAAAAAAGAGACGTAGGTATATTATAGTACACCTACTATCTATGCGTATTTTATATTTTTATTATGTATACATATTATGAAATTATTACCCTAATCTATTTAAAATTACTTTCATAGTTTCATATAATATAATGCATGTGCCTATAATATTATGCTGGTGCTAAATTAACGTTAGTAATGAATACATTTTTATAACCTTAATTCTATTAAAAGAGTACACTGAAAACGTTTTCGATAGGGTTTTATTTAGAAAAATACTATTCGACCCAATTATTGTAGTAATAATAGTGTTCAGGTAACCCCTTTTTGTATTTTTAACTTTTGTGTTTAAAACTAATAATTAAAATTGATTCAGTTTTAATTAGGATCTAACTAACCTACCTGTCCATTTATGTAATTTATCGATATTTATAAAAAATAATAATAATTAATGTAGGTTGATTATCAGTTATACTACTATAAAATTGATTGTAAACTATAATTATTTCTAAAAAACTTTGTACGTTTAGGTATACTATATTACTATTATTATATCTTATGACTGTATGAGTTACCTATCCTTATAAGATTTACTGCATAATATTGAGATTACACTAATCGCATACTCACCAAAACGTAAGCGATATAGGTGCTAGGTGCAGTCTGGTTTGTTTATTCTGTTTAATCAGTCGCTTATATAAATATGAAAAAAATAATTGTTTTAAACTTACTGTAGCAATAATATAGGTTAGATTAGAAACGTTGGTTCATTCATCCTCGGAACAGACATTTGTGTGGGTATAATAATATAACAGTTAAAAAATGTTGAGTGTTTTTTTTTATTTTTATATATATAGGTATAACTACTTTTTTGTTCGTGGTTATCATTTCGATTTCGTAATGCTTGCAATTTGAGTAGTGAGCAAGGCTGACAAAAATAATAATAATAAAACAAAAATACAGAAATGGTCGGTGACGTCAATTACAATTGTATCAGACCATTGGGGGTCGAATGGTCGAATGGTATTTTATTTTTTTTTTTCAATCGTAATACAACAGTCCGTAAATAAATTAAGAGGCTAAAATATCGTCGTCACTGCGGTCGAGTGGTGTGGCGAGAGATGCTCGGGAGGGGGGCTGAAAATAATCAATTTCTATTAGGCCTTACGGGTTTGGCAGCGATACAATATCGACGCGTCTATTGGCCCTCTAGGACAGCTGTCGGTTGGTCCTAAAAAAAAATATCTAAATTAAATAAAACAAATAAACACACGAGCCGAATCATCAAAGAATATTTTTTTTTTATAATATACGTGTCATTATCAAAAAGAAGAAAAAAACGTGTATAAAAAAACGAATGTACAGTCATTAGGTTATTGCTGCAGTGTCGTGTCCCCCGGAAACTACTGCGTAGCGGGTAAAAGGGTAGAACGGGGGAGGGGGATGTGTTAGAAGACTCGGTCGTAGTTGTATAAATATAACTCGTACCCGAAAGGTTTTTTTTTTTGTTATCCGTTTAGTTTTTTCTTTCTGAACGAAATTACGGTCACCACGTGGTCACAAGGCAGCAGTTTCGTGTTGTAAATCAAAAAAATAAAAAAATAAAAATGCTCATGTAACTTTGTCGGCAGTCGGTATATGACATATACGATGGTGGGAGGGGGTGCATTTAAATCATCTTAAACCTACATATATAAGCTTACCTTGAACTTTGCAGTATATAGTATATTATTATATATTATGTGTATTATCGTCTATACAATAATATACCCATATTTAGGTACATATATAATACTACGCTTATTGTATTATATACATTTGAAGAGAAATCGTAAATTATGAGAAGAAAACAAATCGTCGTTTGAATTTAAACAGTATGGTTTTATGTACAATATATCTGTAACTGTGCACGATAAAATGAAAAATCTAGGTTCATAAATTCGTTTTTATGTTTCGATAATGAAATTGCAATTTTTCAATCATCGAAACTTTATGTATATTAGTATATAGGTTGTCACGTATATTCGTGAGTACACGTGGGTTTACCGCATGTTTAAATACATTTAGACTATTTATACCAATCTACTCATTCATAGTGCTGATATACTTTAACATCATGTTACACCTAAACAGGTAGTGAATTTCACGATTTCACTATTTTGCATTTAATTTATTCGTTGGTACCAATTAATTATTTTAGGTTTATAATATACCTGTTATATCGATAGACGATAATCATTATTCTGTTCGCACAATCTGTAAAAAAAAACAATTTTATTTCAGTAACAGACATATTGGATATTATTTGTATTTTTATAGGTGTTGTTGCATACATAATATTTTATACATTGTATCTAATATAAATTTGATTTTTTATGGACTTTTTTAAATTTATAAATAATTGTCTATTATTACCTATAGTAGGAATTAAATAAATATCGAGTAAGTATTTCTTTGTGTGCGTATTTCATGATTTTTAACTCACTTGTTCGCGATTGATATAATATTATGCAGGTTAATTGATGCGTATTTATATCTAGGTTCATATAATATATTATACAACGCAGCGTTCATTAGAGGGCAGTATTTATATAGGTACAGGGTTTATCGAAGGACTATAAACTATTTGATTTCTAGAAACGTTTGTGACCGTTTAACGTCGGTATACCTACCACCAAAAATACGAACTTGAGGTGGTCGGTGTATAAAAAATTCGGATTTCCGTCCAGTTCATATACTTTTTAGTTTTTACGGCCCGACGACGAGGCGTGTTTCGCAGCGACGATGCGTCATCCCCTGGAATTAGACTCATGTAGTCTTTAACCGGAAGAATGCGCATTTGTTGGTTTGTTTGTTTTTACGGCCAGATGTCTTTTGTCTATAACTAGTCCTTCGATGTTTTCTCGTCACAGAAAAAAATACGACGGCAAACAATATAAAACGACCGATACCGTGATGGACGGTGACGGTGACCATCATAATATATATTACAAAATTATAGCAATCACAGTTAAATTACAGCAATTAAGGGACAAAACGTTCTCGGATTACTCACCAAATTCGAAAACAAACTCACATACATTCAAAAATTCCTAATCGTCTGTCAGCGTATTTGTTTTTGGGAAAATCGGAAAATTTGAACGGCCCGTCGTGATCGCGTCGCCTGCGAACGTGATTCGTCTCGTTGCTACCTGTACTATTTACTGTATTATAATGTTAATTTTATGTTAGAATTTTTCACGATTAGTTAAACACACCGTCAGCCAACGAAATGTAATGTACTATTATATACCATTACCGTGGTACAATTTGACACGCCGGACGTGAACCTTGAACACGTCTTTTGAATCGGATTATACGAATATATAATATTAACTTCGAGCCCAAGCCAGGAGGAAATCGGGCGTTATCTCATCGGTATCATTATAATAATATAGGAAATTACAAGTCAAATCCAGTAATGAATTTTCATTAAATATACTGTTTCAATTTCTCATCCGATTTTATATCGGATCGCCGACCCGATGCCGGATATTGGATCCAACTAATTTACATATTATTATGTAACGGAGTTCCGTTCCACAAATTTAGTGTTCACTATGTATTCTAATTTTTATAATATTAAGTTTACTGATAAAATATCCGTTTGGATAATCCAATTAAAATAAAATGGGCTCGAGAATCGAGTGTCATACACAGGCCAGAAATAAGCAGTAAAAATGTATAATTATTACGTACAAATATACTTGTCATTAATGTATTGTATTTTTTCTTTTTTCAGGTGGTGCTTGTGTTCATTTTAAGTATAGCATCTCTAATTATATATTTTATCGACGCCTCCAAGTAAGTTGAACAACACAAGTTGTAATGCACTTATAGCTGTTTCCAAAGAACCATTCATTTAAATACCAGTTATTTTTTCCAGCGAGGAGGTTGAACGATGCCAAAAGTGGAGTCACAATGTTACTCAACAAGTAGATTTAGCTTTCAATATTTTTTTTATGGTTTACTATTTTATAAGAGTAAGTATTTTTTTTCTTAATTAATGTTCCATAATTGAATTTTTCTACTCATAGATACTCGTGACTATAGCATATTTTTTTTAGTGAAAATCATTTATTCTAATTTCCAATACCTGTACAAAACAACGACCATTCCTATTTTAATTCCCCAAAAAAATAAAATATTTCATTACATTTACATGATACTCACACATCACTTTTATTTTCTTCCTTCGAATATATTATAATGAATTTGGTTTAGAAAATGAAAAAACAAATTAAGATAAAATATTATGTAATTAGTTAAAAATAATTTTAAAAGTGTGCTTGAATCGTCCCTTACTCTCTATAGTAACTAGAATGAAAAATTCAAATATGTTTTTAAAACAGTCATAGAAGCTAAGCGTTGTCACGTACCATTGTAATTTATTAGTACCGTCCGTTAAAATGAAACTATTTTTTTTTTCATTTGTCACAGTATAGTAAGTTGACATATTATTATGCGTGCAAGTGCGTAAAATCGTACCCTTTACTTTTACTTTACTCGAATGCATATCCCACACGAATTATGATTTAAGACTAATACAATGACATGGTCAACGACTGAATGCATATTACGATGTTGTCTAGAAAAATGTTTCTTATAATCTAGTAGTCACAATGAGCCCCTTAATTGGTATTTTTTTTATTATGAGAAGATAACTTGTTGTCCACAGATATTTAAAAAAATATTAAATGTAGTCATCATATTGTATGATTACATAAAATATACAGTTAGATAACATTTACGAATAGGGGATGAATATTTTTTATACTCACATCAACGTTCTATAATAATTGAAAAATTTACATAAATAAATGCGAAAATGAGCAAACGAAAATTAAATTGATATTATCTTGAACGATAGTAAAAATTATTACAATGCAATTTCCTGTTTGCTTTTATGACTGTTATAAAATTTAAATAATTTGCATAATGTAATTCGTTATTTATGCATTGTATAATAGGAAATTCTTTAAATGAGTAAAAATTTAAATAACATGAAATGCTGATGAGAGTTTATAAGTTGTATGATAGTATTCCCGTGAAGGATATTTTCGTACTGGAGTAAAGTTATCGTCTTTTCTGGTTTATTATGAACTAACGAATAGCTTTAATAAAAGCAATTATATCAAGTTCACAGTAATTTACAACTTAATTACAGACTGAAAAAGTGCATTGCATCACAATCAGTGTTCGGATTAGACAAGTATTTTCTTATCAAGATAAAGATAAAGATAATGCAACTCAAAGGTATCTCGATAGACATAAAAAATAACCTAACTCATATTTATCTAGATAAAGATAAAGATAAATACTTTTTTATCTAGATAAAAAAAAGATACAATTATTTTTTAAATGGTTATAATTTATAAATGTAGGTACATTTTAGTTCGGCACTAGGAACATAATAATGATAATGATATAAATAATTATAAACCATACAATTTGTTTGAGAATCTTTATAAATATTTAAAAAAGCGTTTGTACAATTTCTCGATTTTTATCAATAAAAAATGTATCTAGATGAATTTATTTAGATTAGTAAAAATGTTATTTAAGATGAACGTTTAGATACCTTGTAACTATTTATCTAGATAAGATCAAAGATGAACAAATAATTATCAAGATAAGTCCGAACACTGATCACGATACACAGTATCCTAAAGTTATTAAATACTAAATAAATATTATGATATTGTATTATTGTACATTAGACAGCTTAACAGTAAACGTATTGAGAACAACAATATTATTAAGCTATATGCATTATAATCATAATATCGTCGTAATTAAATTTACACAATTTTAATAATATTTATCTTCAGATTTTAAAAAATAACGTTATCTATTTTGTTTATAGTTTATAGCCGCCAGTGATAAGTTATGGTTTATGTTAGAAATGTACTCGTTTGTAGACTACTTCACGATTCCACCGTCGTTTCTTTCGATATACTTGGGTCGAACTTGGATCGGTAAGTGCGATCATATGCGTTTAAGAAAAACGATAATAACAAAATATACCTACCGTTTTATTGTACCTTATTAGTTAGTACCCTATTAGATCAGGAATATGTATAATTTAATATTATCGTTCTGACCTTCGAAATAAACATAGATTTTCTCGTTTTTTTTTTCTAGGTCTAAGGTTCCTCCGAGCTCTGCGCCTAATGACAGTGCCTGATATTTTGCAATATTTAAACATTCTAAAAACGTCGAGTTCAATTCGACTTGCTCAACTCGTGTCTATTTTTATATCCGTGTGGTTGACCGCCGCCGGAATCATCCATCTCGTAAGTACTACCTACTCAAACAGCACTTAATTTAATTATGTTTTTTGTTTTATTTTTTCTGATTGTGAAAATAATTAATCGCCCCATAAAAGTCAACGAGAAAGCTACAATAAAATTGTCTATCTATTGTCCGACATTACAATTTCCTCTGAAATAAACGTCGAATAAAGGTCGTATCTTTGAAGAGTGTTGTGATGTTTAGACACTATATATATTATTATTATCTCATTGCCAATCTTTTTCATAGTATATTTATTACGCCCACACACAAAAAATAACGTTTCGAACGAAGTAAAATAATTAGAATAACACATATAATAATATATGGTGTGTGTATTAATTTATTTAACTTAAATTATATTCCAAATTTGAATCGCCTGTTTTATGTGAAATTTATCCACGATAATTGTGGATTTACCTACGAAACTATAGTTAGGTGCCTATATGCGACACTAAAAATTGTGTAAATACCTCGTACCTATATTAAACTCGTTCTTAGATACGGCCTTGGTCCTAAAATATGTTACTAAACCGACAATGGTGTTTGGAATATTTTAGCTGGAAAACTCGGGAGATCCATTTGAGTTCCAAAACCAGCAACGGTTATCATACTGGACTTGTGTGTACTTTTTGATTGTCACCATGTCCACGGTCGGATACGGAGATGTGTTTTGCCAGACTATTTTGGGCAGAACTTTTCTAGTATTTTTCCTACTCGTCGGCCTCGTAAGTGATATGTTTCTTTTTTATTTACATTATATTTTAATTTCTTATATTTTGCCTCTTGTTTAAATTAAGTGTTAAATAAATGTAATAGTAGAATCACGTAAAATATAATATCACGTGCCACGTGAATATAGGGACGTATAATATATATATATATGTATATATATACAATAAGTCATTATTCTTTGGTTAAATAATGACTTTATTACACAATCGGGACGATAATATCGTAATATTTGCCAAAAATAGTATAAAATACGATATAATTAAACAAAATGTACTAAAAAAATTAAACAACAAAAATTAAAAAAAAATAAAAGAATTATAATACTATCTACTGTCACTTATTATAATATGTTTTGGCGGTGCATGAGTGCTGTTCGTTTAAGTTCGCTTAAAGAATAATCGAATGTAGCATTGATAATAATAAAAAAAAAAAAAAAAAAAAAAATACAACAAACAAATGGATGCATTTTATTTTATAAAAATAACTAAACAGTATGTTATGGAATTTTTACGGACAATAAATAATATATTACAATCATAAGAAAAAAAATATGTGAACAATATATTTTATTTTTAATTTGCGCTAAATACAAAATTATATAATATTTATTTGTACTAAAAGATTTAACTATTACCTAAACTAAGAATAAACGAATAATCTTTGTGTGGCAGAAGCTTTCAGCAGGTAAAACGCTATAATACACGTATTTTTTAGTTAGATTTATTATTACTATTATTATTTTTTTTTTTGAAAGCTCTAAAAAAGCTGGCTGTTAATTTTTTTTTCACACACACATTAGCATTACAAAGTATGAGCATCAACAAAAGCTCCAGTTTAACCCTCCCCACCCGTACGGTATTTGCCTCTGATAGACAAATTGGAGTAAAAGGTCATACACAATTTTATTTTTTTATTATTATTATAAATTATTTCACTATACAAATATCCACTATAGTTATTATAGCTCATAATGCAGACCAATAGACTAATATTAAATCATAGTTTATAACCTATACATAATAATATGTATATGTATTTTTTTTTATTTATTGACATAGTTTTGCTTCGTTTACATGTACTTGAAACCTTTTCTTCTTTTGGGTGCTTTTTATTGTTATCATATAATATATATTGTAATATGTTATTATATATATATATAACATTGACCTGTCAAGGTAACCGCTAAAATGCTTGGCAGCTTATTGAACGTATACGAATCGTTAATCCATTATTTCGCTGTACAATAATATCGGTTTAAATTTGTATGTACGCGCTGTTTAGCTTTGGATTTGCATGGACTGCGGGGTCGTTTATAATGCCGAGGGCGGTTATGGCGCTCTGAATCAATTATTTTTGATGACATTTATCGCAGAACACGACTGCAGTTGCCGAAATAATATAACATTTCGAAGTTACATATTGTTATTATTATTACTGTGCATGGAATTCGTTCGATCATATTTTTATTGTTATTACATTATTACAGTAGAACGATATATTTAAGAGGGTTCAATGACGTCTGTTTGTATTCATCCACAAAAACTCTTAATACATAATAATATGTAATAAAATATATATAACACACACACACACACACGTGGGTGTTGCGTCGACGGCGTGCATACGTTATTTGTGTAGAATTTTCATACGTGTTCTGTACAATTATTATAATTAATCTAATTATATTCACTTACCTAAAATAAGTTATTATTTTTTATCATAATAATTAGTATAACTATACTATAATGACGTATATTATATCAATAACGTTGTTGTTATGCGATGACCGTTGAAAATATATTTTTATTATTGCATATTATTATGCTGGACGAGTTTGTACATTACATTGTCATTATTAATCATATTATAGATATTGTGTATTGTATATTATGTATACATATTTTAATATAATTTATTATTATTTTTTTTTATATCTATTTTGTTTTATTATCACTTAGGCAATATTTGCTAGTAGCATACCAGAAATTATAGAACTCGTAGGAACTAGATCAAAGTATGGTGGAGAGTTCAGACATGAACATGGAAAGAGGTATATACAATATAAACACGTAAAATGGAAACCAAAATAATTTTTTTTTAATTTTGTCTGCCACCTATTTAGATGATTTTTTTATATGATTTTTATTTTTAATTTCATCATGATGCGTTTGCTAATGACCTACATTTTTAACGAAGTCCCTTTTTTTTAAAGATTTTTTGTTTCTTTTTCTTTTCTTAACTAACTGACAATATTATAATTATTATTTGAACTATTCTTGGCGTTTTTATTATTTTCTGTTGACCGGCCTCATTTTCTGCATATACAATTAATATTATGAAAAAAACCTCTGTTTGCATGTAATTTATTTTATGTTATTTTTTTCCTTATATCTTGGTTATGCCCTATTTATTTTATTTTTCTATTTCGTAATATGATTTCTGTCTGCTGCATTAACCCTGTATTTGTACCATATATAGTTAAACATGACGGTCATAAAACATTGAGGTAATAACACAAAATGTGGACTAATATACAATAAAAGGTAACACATAATTGTAATGGGAATCTTAATTAAATTATTATCATTGGTGAGATTTTATTATAGAAATGTACAACTATAATGTAAATAGTTATGTATAGTTAGAAACAATTAAATTAAATTATTGATGCAATAACTATACAATAATATAATAGCCATCAATGACCTTTTACTCTGTGCAGGTATGTAGAATATCAGAATCACGTTTTCCAACGTGACTTTGATTATTGAACATAAACACAAAAACAAAATCGTATTACCTACAAATACCTAGTTATTATTGGTTTCAATGAGCAATGTTATATATTATTTGAAATCCTTAACGTTATTTTTTAAATTAAATTATTATTGCTATTATATAATAAATAATAATATTATAATTTTTTTTATACAAAAATAAGATTTTAACAGCACATAATATTAATTTGTGTGTAATACAAAATCTACAAAGTACCATCTATGAGTTTTCACGAAAAATAGGTTACTAAGTAAGATGCACTAATAGACAGCTAACTACGCTAATACTATTAAAACAATTGTTTTATGTACACCGAATATTATATAATATATTCTATACAACAATAACATCATAATTATTCATAACATTTATTAATTTTATGTCTGTATACTCAAAGAAAAAAGTTTAAATATATTATTGTATAACTCCACGTGCGATTAACCTTTTAAACTTTTATGCAAAAAAAAAAAAAGAAAAAAATGGGTCACCGGGTTTGCTGCGGTCGCCGTACCAGACGGGGCGACACCGACGACAAAACGTCTTCGGCGCGTCACTGATGAATGATTGCAATGTCGTTTTCATATTAAATGTTTTATGGTTATTTGGCTATATACTATACTATATTATACTAGTTGTAGACCTGACGTTTAGCCGATACGATATACTTACTATGTACACGCATAATAATAATTAATCGGGTCTTTCGGTTACGTCGAAAATAATCTTCTTTATTTCTTCGTCAATCCATTATTCTCTATCTTTATCCCTTCTCTCTCTCTCTCTCTCTCTCTCTGTATCTCGAAATTCTATATCATTTGATGATGTGAACGGGAAAAAGACTTAACACGACCGCGTTTAAATGATATTAATGTCTTTTTGAGCGGAGCGCAGGCGCCGCCATTCACCGGACAACTCCTTATTTCGTCGATCCCGTCGGCTGCACGACTGTTACAACAATAATATATCAATACATCGGTCACGTCGATAGATATGTTTCTTCGTTTTCGACGTAATCGGACGAACCAAGGGTGCAAAAAAAAAAAAAAAAATAATAAAATACACTCACACACACGATCTTAGAAAAATGTATACACGATTTGTTATATAGTGTTTTTAAAGAAAAAATTATTATTATTATTATTTTTTTTCTCTTTTTTTGTTGGTTTTTGTTTTGTTTTGTTTTTATTTTTGTTTGGGGTTTTTTTTAATATTATGTTAATATTGTATTGTTAACCGAACGGTGATAGGCTGTGATGGCAAGCTGGATACCCGAAATCACCGAGCTCGCTGGCAACAGGAAGCGATATGGTGGGGAGTACAAGCGAGAAAGGCGAAGGCAAGAATCGCCAATGAACTATTATTTTTTTTTTTCGTATTTCGTACATTACATATATTATATATAATATATAAATATATATTATATACTATAGTATATATTTATTATTTTATATTTTTATTTTTTTCATTTGTTAATTACAAAAAAAAGTAATCTTCTGAAATAACTCGGACCGCATTTGTTATACGCTTCGATGGGGTTAATAATATTTTCCTTTAGTCTTTCACGATCGATTAGATTGCATTTTGTTCGCTTAACGCTACATAATATATTATAATTTTATACATATATATATATATAATTTTTTTAAATTTGGAGTATAACGCAAAATGGAAACAATGTATTTTCACGGAGTATTTCTGCGATACGATTTTTATGGACAAGTATTTTTTTGTTTTATTTTATGTTTTTTTTTTTTAAAACTACAATCGTGCAAAAAACGTTGGGCTCGGTCGTCCCGAGGGTGTTTCCATTTACGATGCCAAAATTACGCCCTCTATCAGGTGTTACGGTTTGACAATAATATTATTATGGTGTGTATACCTTTGCTAAATATTTCGGAGCGTGCTTGCCTATTTTAAAATGATTACAACAATAATAATTGCTACGCCAATAAAACAATCGATACATACGAATTGTTATTATTTGATTTCTATTATTGTTGTTTTTATTACAATAAATAAAAAAAATATACGACCAATATTAGTAAAAACCTGTGGAAATTCGTTTATTATTTCCGTGGTCTGTGGATAATACAATAATGAGAATGTTATTATTACAATAACTATTTTTATTATTATTATTATTATTATTACTATTACTAAAATTATATACTTAGTATTATTATTATTATTATTATTATTATTATTATGATAATTGTTATTACTATTATTATAGTAAAATGCGCGGTACGGATTTTCCGAGACGGCTGCCGCTGCGCCGCTGTCGTAACGGTCGTTTCGGAATAAAATGTGATTTTCTGAGGGCCAAGCGTAAAAACAGATGTTGATCTGTGTTCTCGTAGGTGCAATCGTCACGTGTATATGAGATTCAATCTAAAAATATAATATTAGTTTGTTGTTCAGCCAGGCCGTGAAAATACATTGTCACATAAACATCACGCGACATCTACCATCGTAGCCAAATCAGTTATCTTGGTGGCATGAACAAAATATTCCCTAACATAGTCGAAAAAAAAATAGTTTAGAATATATATATAGTAAACAATATCTAAAATTTAGATGTTAGATTCGTTATTATATTATTATTATTATTATTATTATTATTTATTTATTTACTTTCTATTTTTTTGCAAACCCAATACATGTAGAATTCGCACTTAATAGCTTCATTAGTTTTGTCAGTAATAAAAACATAATATACATAATATCAATATATTATTGTCATAGGATATTACTTTTCCTCATGAATAACATTTTGGTTTTTTTAAGCATTATTATCTAATTTTTTTCGAATATTACGTGCCATGAAAAAATGTAGAAAATATCTAACCATATATATTTTATTTATCTAATTATTTATTTATTTATTTATTTATTTATTATTATTTTTGTAATATTTTTTTGGATACTTGAAAATTAAAATGACAGTTTATATTTTGTTTTTAAACAACTCGGCGCGGATATATATTTTTAAAATATTTTATTTTCGTCATGAAAAAAAAAATAGTAATCATTTTGATAACTAGATAGATTTTAAAAGAATAACAGGGACAAAGGTGCTTTACTAGTAACAATAAAGGTAGTTAAATTTTTTATATTTTATTTCGTATTTTTAAGACGCTGACAAAAGTAAGGTGCCTAAAATGAGATAACAGTTTTTTCCGCCACACAGTTTTATTTTTTTATTTTTTATTTTTATTTTTTATTATTATTATTATTATTATTATTATTATTTCAAACTCAAAATGTTAAAATAGCAGGTGCATTATTATGAGTTGTTGTGTGTTTCATATTTTGTTTTTTGCATTTTATTTTGTTTGTACACCAAGAAACATTGGCTCGTTGGTAGATTTCCGAATGAATCATAACAATAATAACTATACACTCACATGATCTAACCAAAAAACTAGGATAGTATAGCTATTACAAAAAATAAATAAAAAATAAAGCATGAATAATTTTTTTTGGAATGTAACCGTTTTTTTTAACAAGACTAAAATATTTCGTAAGGTTTTGTAAGCGTGAATTTATTGAAATTATATCAAAATGTATAGAAATAATTTCAAATTACGATGTATTATAGTTGTTTTTACGTAAATACCTAACAAAGTGTTACTGCTGATCGCTAACAAGCCACGTTTCTTTAGGTGTGCTCTCTTTAGGTGTTTTATTCCTTAAAAAAAAAAAAAAATTAATTAAAATTATTTTTTAAATGTACGTTTTTTTTATTATTTTTGTTTTTTAATTTCAAAAATACAATAATTTTAGGGTATTATTATTGGCGGTAAAAACTGACAATATGATCTCAAAAAAAAAAAAAAATACTCAATCGTAAAAAATTAAAAACAAATTAAAATATAATTATAATTATAAAATACGGGCTTTATTTTGGTACTAACAGATGCATACTGAACGGAACTTTAACGATCCTACCCGAATGCTTCCGACTTACTGTTCTCATTTCGTTCAGTGTGAGTCTGACTGTCATCGTGCACTCGTCTAATGCTGTCAAAAATCACACAAACACATACTACACACACACACAGACACATATTCTTATATATATACACATAAATACATAATAATATATACACTAGCACAGGCGAATGTAAACATTCACACAAACACCACATAAATAAAAATCGAATAGGTTCTTATGTGATAATAATATACGTTCTAATAATAATTATAACGTGGCGCAATTTTCTCATGTATGTTTCTTGAAATTTTGAACTATCCTTGAATGATTTGGGGTTCCTTAGGCGATTTTTGCGAGTTGTATACCCGAGATAATTGACCTGATCGGAACTAGACCAAAATACGGAGGAACCCTGAAGAATGAACGTGGAAGGAGGTAATATTTTACATACCATACATATATATATATATATTATTAGCATTTATACACCTTTATATAATAATATTAAGTACTTTATTTTTTTTTCATTTTTTTTTTTTTTTACTATAAGCTTCAAGCTTTGAACAATATTTTTCTACGGATTTATAGGCCTACGATATTCAGCGTCAATTAAACTAAAGCACGTTTTTCTATATTCTAAAATAATGTTCTTCTTTTTCATCACAACATGATATTAATAATATTTAATAATATGATACATGATCGATTTACATTATCCACGTATAAGGATAGTACCTGATAAGGATATTGTACGATGCAAGTACGATGCATACACTGTTTACGGATTACCATGCAACTTTAGCTACCGTGCCGAGTTGCTAAATTAAATGTAATTCAACTGTTGTGTGGCTGAAACGTCATAAATAACACAAATTCGCAAAGGAATAGGTTAAATTTGAAGAAAAAATAACGTATACATATAATAATATGTATATGTATATTAATTTTTGTTGTTGTTTATAAATAACTGCACGTAACAATATTAATTTTGCCTGAACCCTATTTTTAGACCAAAAATATTAATATTAATGTAAATATCACTGATTGTAATATACAAACTATTATATTATTATTATTATTATTATGTAGCTTGAACATATTCAGTAAACACGCTTAAATCCGTAGTGTCTATACCGATGGCAAAATAGTAAAAATTAATGTATCAATAACTTTATTGTTTATATGTTTATTTATATTTTTTAGGCAGAAATTACATAAACAAATGTAACCGTGTTAAAGCAGTTTGATATATTATTAATTACTATATTATTATTAATAAATTGTTTTCAAAAGCTGTGTGAACTCTATTTTCCGTAGAGTTCACACAACACATGATACATTTATATATACATTTAACAAACTCGTACTTTTTGATTTAGTTATTTCCTGTTATTTCCTGTTTTTAATTCATTATTTTTCAAAAATGCACTTCACCCGAGCAATCATCATGCTTACATACATAATATTATTACTTAGTCTCATCCTGACTGTTTTATTAGGATTTGACCGTAGTGCCCCTCGTCGGTGCATATACAATATTTTTAAATCTTATTTTTATTTTGATCAGTTTTTATTATAATTATTATAATTTCTCTTAGAATTATGTAAATATATACATTAATATGATTTTATTCCTATAAAAACAGGCACATCGTCGTTTGCGGACACATTACCTACGAGTCAGTGTCGCATTTTTTGAAAGATTTTTTACACGAAGACAGAGAGGACGTAGACGTGGAAGTGGTATTCTTACACAGGTATGATAAAACAGATCAATATAATATTGTATTTTTTTAAATAATTCTAATGAAAAAGTTATAAATAATCAATAATGAACGATGGTTAAAAAAAATACTAGACACAATTAATATACCTGTTGAAATCACGTTTTAGATCTTTACTGCCGAACTATATAATATGATCATGTACATGTATTTCATTATGATATATACCATTATACCTATATAAACGTTTTTAAGTCGAAAAATTAGGTACGACGTTGTGTGTAATTTGCAGAAAAGAGCCAGATTTAGAATTGGAAGGGCTGCTCAAACGTCACTACACCACTGTCGAGTTTTTTCAGGGTACAATGATGAACGCAGTAGATCTAGAGAGGGTGAAGGTAAATACCCACTCTCATCCTGATTCTTACTGTCGACGTTTTTTCTTATCGATTTGTGCTCAGTTTCCATACATAGATCAATATTATTATTATTATTATAACAGCTACATGTAGTCTGATACGAAATAGAAACAATTCTTATTAGTTCTAGAGATAGATTATAATATATTGTGTATTGGTATTATATTATATACGAACTGATTTTCTTAAATTTTAACACTATTTTTCTTGAAAAGTATAATTGAATTTGGAATTGGTTTTTTTTTACACAATTCAAAGTCAGTACAAAACAACATTTTTGATAAAAAATTACATTTTACATTTTTATAGTCGTCATATTTAAAGTATTTCAATACTTTGAATGACAGCATAATATATAACATCATATTCCGATTCAGAATATTTTTCTGAGAATTTTGATGGTTAAAAATTTAATTTCGAAATAGTTGTTGATTATTTATAAGTATTTAAAGTATAAACGAGCTGAGTGTTTCAGCTGTACCTCGTAACTGTTGGTTCACTTCTCCACTCAATGTAACTCGAAATACTTACAACTTATTAACTACTAGTTTGAATTTGAATTTTTATGTATTAAAATTTTCAGAAAATGGGAAAATTAAAATATGTGCAGTTGTTAAAAAAAGAAAGAAATTGAAAGATAATAATGGTGAAATATAGAGCAAAAAATATTGTTTTGCAGACTTAAAACTATTTAAATAAAAGTTGTTTCCAAAAACGTTAGGAATTCTCGAGAAAATTAGTGTTTAACTTTAAAAAAAATTACCTCGTATATTATTTATGTACACTATATAATAAATATATATATAATATGTATATGTATATATGTATATGTGTGTACAATATTTATATATGTAATATATATACATATATTATATAGATACGTATATTATATAATTATTCATAAATTTTGTTTTAAATAATAATCCTTTATTTATTTACACCGAACATTAACTATTATCGTCATTTAGATTTGTTAAGCCTCTTGATCAAACAGTATTTACATATTAGTATAGGCTATAACAAAGCCGTTGAAACTGTAAAGAGTTAATGTATTTTGCTTTGAACCATGTATTTAGCTGTCATTTATTATATATTTATATATATACACCCATATATATATATACTTATATATAAATACAAATACTAAACACTTAGGACGGGAACTTGAACAGACCTTGACGATGGTAATGTTTTTTTTTTTTATTATTATTATTATTATTATTTGAACCAGGTAGATGAAGTTTTTGTTTTACACCTATATATAATATTATATATAAAAGGAAAGTAGCTTAGTATTGGAGAAGTGATATTTCTGAAATCGATACACTGTCCCTATAATATATATATAGATGTATATTATATATGTGTGCAGGTTCAAACTGGCAGAAGCATAACAACTCGTTTGTGGCTGCTATTATAACATAACTAAAAAAAAAAGAAATAATAAGAATTATATTTTTACTTATATAGCGTTTATATAGCCGTTTATTGATTAAATTATTGTACCTATTTTTACCACCTAGTGACTAGTTAGATACTTTGAACGGATTTCTGAACCATAGATTTTATATTGTTGATACTTGATTTATATGATATTTTATATTATAAATAATTACGATACAGTGTGCAATATATAGAAGACATGTCAGTATTAGTTGTGCTTCAATTTAGTTATTTTTGGTATTTTCCAAACCGTAGGAAGCCACCTGACCTGGAACTGGAAGGACTTTTCAAGCGACATTTTACCACTGTCGAGTTCTTCCAAGGTTCTATAATGAACCCTATTGATTTGCAAAGGGTAAAGGTATGTCCAAACAAATGGCTTTAGCACAAATTGAATGACGGTTGCAATTTTTGGATTGGTATGACGCTGGTGATGGATTTTTGTGATTTAAACAAATATATACATAATATTAAATATGTATACATATATACTTATATTCGCATAATATTTATACATAATATATATAATAAGCGATGTATATAAGTGTATATGTATATATATATTATTAACTTACGAACATTTTACACGATGCTCACGTGGCTCAAAATAATCAACGAACCGAACTGTTTATATAATGTTTAACACTAAACGACAACTGTGTTTTTTATGATTTTTTGTTTTCGTTTTTGTTTTTGTTTATAAGTACGATGTTTTTCAAAAATTCGTTTTAACGGCGCATGCTTTTATATATTGTATTCTATTGAGAAGAAAAAAAACATAAACGACAACCGTCAACAGACCGGACCTTACTACCTTACCTACCGAACTCGACAAAATAAGACATTTTCACTGCCCAAATATAAAACGCATCATTTCATTTCATCAACATTGAATTTTAATATTATATATTAATACATTATTATATTATTGTACTATATACATAATATTATAATATAATCATACAATCATCGCATAGTTAGCTGCATTATTAATTGTACACATATGATAATATATTATTATAATAATGCATTCGTTACACAGTAGTGTAAAATATTGTCTCTCACACGCGGTATATTATGATATTATTATACTCTTTACTCATACACGTTTTAGCAAAATTACGTTCTACTAACGCATCTTGTTCACAAATCAAAAATTTGATAATATTTATAGTTATAAACTATATTATGATAATAATAATAATAATAATAATAATAATAATAATAATAATAATAATAATAATGATAATAATAATAATAATGTTAATAATACGCGTTGTGTAGTGCTGTAGACATATTATTATTTTACCGTAATCGTGGTCGTCCATTGTCGTCAGCATGGCATAATTCATGTGTTTTGAATTTTGTGTATATGTGTGCGTATATAATAATATTAATAACTTAGTGCATGCGTGTGTGATATTTGTAGCTGAACTCATCATAATATTAAATAATATTATTATACTATTTTTTGGAAAATGAGCTTTAGTGTTTAACGTACACAAGTTAAACGAAAAGTAATTTCTATATTCGATATAAGCGAACAATGTTGTTGCTGTTAATTTAATCTGTATACTATTATATACAATATAATTTATGTACATGGAACCAGACAATTAGTGTAAAACGCCGGTAATGACGTTTCAGGTCCACGAGGCTGATGCCTGTCTGGTGTTGGCGAACAAGTACTGCCAAGACCCGGACGCCGAAGACGCTGCGAACATAATGAGGGTCATTTCTATCAAAAATTACTCGGACGACATAAGGGTCATTATACAACTCATGCAGTATCATAACAAAGTGCGTATACTATTTTGAATCAAAATACATTATGATACTGCGGTCGCTTAAAATATAAGCGGCATTGAGATCCGACGGGTTCGCGAAATGTCTTTAATTATTTTTTGTTTAAAATCAAAACATTGGGAAAATAAAACTTATTTTATTCAATCGTTATAATATTATGAACTAACAAAGTCTTAGTAAACTTTTGATAAATATTTTCATGTTACATAAAATATATAAATATATTACATATTATATCTACATAATATTCCAACAATAATATACTATATGGATCTAAAAATCAAAACGGAACCTATTCGGCTCAAGGGCGAATGAAACCAGATTATTACAGTTATTTTTTGAACTCTATATTTTCTTCATGGTCCTATTAAAGTTAGGTAGTTTTTTGATATTTATGATTTACCCAATATTCAACTATCATCGGGTTTTGTCGACGAGTGCCATTTTGACAATCGTGTTTTTAATTTGACTTACAGGCGTATTTACTGAACATTCCGTCGTGGGACTGGAAACAAGGAGACGACGTGATCTGCTTAGCGGAGTTGAAACTTGGTTTCATTGCGCAGAGTTGTCTAGCACCAGGCTTTTCCACAATGATGGCGAATCTGTTCGCCATGAGGTCGTTCAAAACGGTGAGTCATTCTAAACCAGTACGCTTGAGCTTATTAGAAAACACTTCTCTAACTCTTGTCGCGCTCACGCGCTCACATCCATCCAGAGAGGCAAAACCAAATGTAAAAAAAAAAAAATTCTTTTAAAAAATGCCAAACGGGAAATAAAACGTCGTAATTATGATTATAGTGCATCGTTTACCATTCACGTTATCGATTCATGTGCATCATATTATGTAACCACAATAATATGTTTTCGATCCGTTAAATTCTGACTTCTGAGGACTCAAACCATGCGATTGTCGTCCCGACCTGCATTATACGTACCTATCATCATTATTATTGTTAAAATAATAAAAATTATGTATTAGTTGTAATAACATAATAATAATATATTATATACCTGCACTGACACTATTAAGTATTTTTAGTGTTTTTCTCCTGTGTGTTTGTACGTTTCTGTGCGTGTGTGATCAACCATTTTAAAAACGAACCTATATATTTTAATCATATTAAAACCAAAAAAAAAAAAACTGAACCCAATTTTTCGGTTGTGGTGAATAAGCGTGTTAGACGATGTCTGTTAGCAGAACACGAGGTGCGTCGTGGCACCGGATGCTATACAAACGTGGCAGAACGACTATCTGCGCGGTACCGGCATGGAGATGTATACCGAAACGCTGAGCCCGACATTCATTGGCATGCCGTTTGCGCATGCCACTGAGTAAGTGGACTTAAATAACGTGTCCAAAATGTTGTACCGGCGGCCGATACTGTTGTTGTTGTTTTTGTTGTTTTATTTTTATTTTTTTTTTAAATTTATTTTTTCAAATTTTTATCCTTCGGAAATTGTACATGATTTTGTGCATCTCAAGTCTGTTGTTATGCCCACGTGTTTTTTTATTTTTTCATTTTTATTTTTTCGTGCGCCTCTAATATTAGACGTATCTACGATCTGCAGCATATTATGACATTTTATGAAACACTACTGTTCGTTCAACATCGCTATATATTTCAATAATATTTTATATTGTATTGCCGTTCAAAGGGGCTCGACTTGAACCACGGAATACTGTAATAATATTGCACAAGCAGTGTTGGGTAACGAAATTTAAAAATATTATAATTACTGAAAATAAATTACTTTTTTAGTAGGTGACGCAGTAATAATTGCATTCCAATGACCGCAATTGCTGAAGGAAGCAAAATTAATTTTAAAATAGAATTTCGATGAATTACAACGAGATAATATAATGATTATTTTCCACGTTATTTAATAATATTAGGTATGGCCAAAACCCAGGAAAGTTGGGTGAGAAGGAGGTGTTAATTTTATATTTCCATTTTTATTTTATTAATTTAAAAAATAATAATTTCTCAGTTTTTATATTGTTCAAAATGTTAAGTGCTACATTGTAAAAAAAATAGGTAGGTAAAACACCAAGGTGACGCCCTACATTTAAATGATAAAATAATGAGAGCTGATAAAAACTTTATGTGACGTAAAAGTACTTGAAATAAAATATATATTTAATGAAACATGTAACGGATAATGTAATTGTATGACTTTTTAAAAGTAATTTACCCAACACTGTGTACAAGTGCATAACATATACATATTGTATTATAAATTATTATAATATATTATGTTAACATTACTACTACAACAACAATATTCCTCTATAAGTACTACATAATATATTAAACAAGCTACTACTAAACACTAATAATGCATCCGAAAACTTCATCAACTCGAAATTGTTAGTTGTTATATTATAATACTCTTCATTAACTACAGAAGAGGAATCTGATTACTTTGTACTATTCGGATTTATATAAAAAAATCAGCATCCCTTGAGTGTGCCCGACTACGTTGCAGCGGTATCCAGTCAAAAGAGTTAGGGGAAATATATCTGAGAGATAAAAAAAAGTATAAGGAAAATATAATTGAGGAAAAAAACTTCCAGGGAAAATATAACTGTAGAAAAAAACTTTCCCAAATGATGTATAACGTTTTAACGACAAGTATCAAGTAAGGTTTATTGGCGATTGAGGAGTATAAATAATATATTATGTTATTAAGGAATTTTCAAAAACCATTCATTACATGTCAGATTAATTGTTTATTTTACTTTTTTTACAATCAACAGCATGACTAATATAGATTGTTATTTTTAAAATAAGTGGTACTTCTCCCATCCCAGGCATATTTTTCGCATACTTTTTTACCTTGGATTTATTTTCCCCAGATATTATATTTACCCGAGTATTATTTGATTGGATATTCTTACACCTAGATTCGTTGCAGCACTTAGCGGCCATCGTGTATAGTCCATATTGTGGTTGTCGCCCATTATAATATATTATGATGGTGGTTGGCTCTGTGTTTGAGTAGAGACCCTTTGAATGTTGTTTTCGTTTTTTGTTTTGTTTTTTAAATTTATAAGACGATGTCTTTGATGTTGAGTACGCGATACGAACGAGAGCAAAAAATATATAATAACTAAAAACGACCTAAGGTTAGATCCGCTTTTGGCTCTTTTTTTCGTCTTGACACGCAGCTGAAAAAACAGGGTAAACGGACCCGTTCTGCAAAAAAAAAGCAACGCGCAAAAAAACACTGCTGTTTTGCGAGTCGTTCAAAAAAAAATACAGCTTGCAAATTTATGATAAATTATTATTATTATTATTATTATTGTTGTTGTTGTTGTTGTCTTATAATATTTATTATTATTATTATTATTATTATTATTATTATTATTGCACGTACGTACGCGCGTCGTAAACGGCACACGTATGCGCGTACGTTGGCTTGTCATTTTTTACGTCTGATATAGTGGACGGTTTCACGTCCAAATTATTTATTTTTTATCATGGTGGATTTTCGTGATCACTTGAAAAATGTGTGGGTTCGACAAGATCAAAATGAAAGGGAAACAATATAATATAATAGGTACTCAAAACAGTCTATGTAACGCGTGCGCGCGTGTATACAATATAATATGTTGTATATAGGTACCTACGATTGAATGTTAATAGTTTTTTACGAATCGAACGGCATAACGCAAAACATATATTAATATATTATATATAAATATATCATTATAGATTGTACTCAGTAGAGTGTAGATAATATAATATGTGTATCTATAGATTTTAGTATATATTATTATAATATTATAGTAGTCAAAACTCGAAGCACATCGTATACATGACAGTTCCTCTCGGTTTTGTTTGTTAAGTTTATTTCAATTTTTTTATATTATTTATTTTATTCGTTCATATTTGTTTGTTTGTTTTTTTTTTTTTTTGTTATAATAATTATTTCACTTTTGTTTCACGTCCAAAACCTCGACAACCGTACCCATCGCACCGTCGGCCGATATTCTTATGACACGTATAAAATGATATCATACCTACCCCCCTCATATGATTATATTATTATAGGTAATATATTCGTACTGTTTTCAATACGGCCACAAACAGAAGAACCGTTCAATTTTCCACGGAACCGTGAATTCCGTACGAACGATAGGTTTACTGGACCAGAAACACACTATCGTTTTACGTTCGGCCGAATAAATAATATTAATTCAACATCGGCATTGCGTTCGGTGATATTATATTTATAAGGACACGCCGACGTAACGGTGGAAAATTCCGAATCCGCTCGTGGGTGTTTTATATGTTTTATATTGATACCGAGTTTCCAAGCAGGAAAACATTATTTTTCAACTTTTATTACAAGTGTATTCCATGAAATTCATGATAGTAATAATATTATGGAGACGTGACTCGAACGTGTTCGTTATATTATTACAATATACGATTGTGCAGGGATATTTTGATGCATCAGCCTTATGATCATTAATATATTATTGTCTAATACTGTTATGAACTTTTATTTTAGACGGAACTAAAGTTATTATTTACCTACGTTAGAAAACCCACGAGTTCATAATAATTATATTATTTTAATGGCCTATGACAAACCGCTATAATGACGTCGAAAACGAGTATAAATATTCGACTTATGAGATTAAAATATGTATAAATCAATCGGTCGACTCAATTTTACCATTTTGAATATATTTCTGATTATTGAATTTACGTATGTTATTTAAATTTTACGTACCGTCAAAAAATTAAAAAAAAAATATCTTATGTTATTCGGATCAAGTCATCGGTCATAAAATAATAATATATTATAATAGGTATATATTAACACACCCAACTCCGGAAAATGTTTTTATCCCACACCTTTTGTTTACATTATTATTGTTATGATATGATTTACCTATATAATTTGTTTTATTTCCACCTTTTTTTTTTATTTTTTGTTATACCTACGATTTTTTGATTTTGATTTTGTTTGTTTGTTTTTTTTCTATCATTTTTTTTTATTTTCGGTCTGCGACCCGATGAATGTGATGTAGAGTAGAGATGTGATAGAGCGTTTGATACCGTGTATAGTTCCTGTGAAGAGTGTGGAGTTTGGTGTATTTCAGTCTCCGGATACGCAAGCGTGGCAGAACGACTATCTGCAGGGCACCGGCTGCGAGATGTATACGGAGACCCTGTCCCCGTCATTCACCGGCATGACGTTTCCGCAGGCCAGCGAGTAAGTCCCTCCTAGTGCCACACATACACCCACACATGTCACACACACACTAGATCATACACTTACAACAAACACACATACACACACATCACCAAAGATCTCACAACATATTCTCCGTTATCAAATCGTATATAATATGATAGGACGGGCTGATCCATTTAACTGGCCGCAATTGTTTTCGAAGACAATTTTTTTTGAATATGAAAAAAAACATTTTCTTAACATACTAAAGTATTGTTGTAGTGATTTAAAAATTTTAACGACAACTCACTGATATTTTTAATTTTATATCATGCAGTAATCATAAAACTTTTTTTTACATTCTAAAATGTCTTGATGTTCAACTATATTGAACAAAAGTTCTTTTCGTTATTCGGTCCATTACTCTCCTCGTTTAAAATAAACGGTTACTAACATGACTCACCTAAATATACTTGTCATTATTTGAACTTTAAAATATATATATTATTCTGCTGATTAATATGATAATCCTGAAAAATCATTATTTCTAAAATATATACTATAGTACCTACTAAAATTATTTTATTTTTTATTTTTCAAAATAACAATAATTTACTTGGAGAACGAATGTAGTTAGTAATTAATTGGATCACCACATGTGTATATAGTATATATATTTATATATATATATATATATATATATACAATATACATTGTACATTACACATATTACATAACACATATACTTTACTCTATACAATATATGCTCTTACATCCCCCCAGAGCTGTTTTTTTATTTTGTCTGAACATAATAACAATACATAATAATATATTAACATTTATTAAAAAGAATATTTTATAAATATATATATATATTTTGTTGTATAGTATTTTCTATTATTATTTCAGTAGGTTAGACCAGTGTTTCCCAATCGTTTGGTTTAAGGCAACCCGCTGTTAGACTCTTCTTTTGCCAGGTGACACGTTAAAGAAAAAAAATCGAGTTGCATCGTTACACTGTAATAGGTACTATACTATATTATATAGTATAATAATATATTTTTATATTTCAATACCTCTAAGACCCGTCAGATGAATATATTGCGACCCATAGGTTGGGAAACACTGGATTAGATATTAGCTATATATTAAACTATATAATACATTACATATAGTTTAAATATTATTTATTATATTGGACGTGGTATCGGTTGAACGCGGTTCCGAACCAAACTTTTTTCGCATTATATTTTGGTACCCAAGTGCGGTACACTGTAAACGTATACGCGGATGCGGGTTGTAAGGTTGTAAGATAACAGGGAAATGGGTTACAAGCACGTGCACTGGGGTCGCGTTCATACTGCAAAGCACCTACATTTGAAAAGATCGGACGAGTGGTTTTTTATTTTTTCGTTTAAATTTTCAAGACGCGCGAAAATCCCATTGGTCGGCATTTTTTTTTTTTACAGCTTCCACTCGAAACGCCACCGTTCGTGAAAATACAACTATATGATCCGCTCCGTCCCGGAGGACGTGATTGGGGTTTAACGGGTTATCGTTAGCGTTAATATTTAAAATGGTAATTTCAAGTTCGTCTCGCGACCGGAATTCATATTTTTTTACCGTTTCCCAGACCGACGCTTTTTGTGCGCAGGCACGACAATAGACGAGTGGCAATTAAAAGTACGTGTGGGTAGGTATTGTAGGTACACGATAATAATAATATGTGTAATATACGATTTGTGGAAATAAAATTTCACCACCGACCCGTAGGTGGATACCATATTCTTTTGTTCCGAATTCCGTTGGGTTGTAGGTAAACAATTCACCGGAAAAAATAACTCGCCATCACCCCCCCCCCCCCCCCCCCGGGCACACACCCTTATCAAACATTTTACTACCTGCCTTCAAAATGTCGGGTGTATCTTCATTGCTGCAACCATACATAATAATATTATTACGCTGTTTCCGTACCCACCACTCACGACTATCGGATAATAATACATTTAATGAGATAATTTTAATAATACATTATTATACCCATTTTAATACTTACCGATACTTCCACGGTATGTTAATTTTACCCTAACAAAACCAAAAAATTTATCTGTTTATATTCACGTCAAATTATTCCGTAGTTATAATATTTTATCACAATATTATACTACGTTACATACCTATCTAATTTTTTTTAAGCTTGTCCAAACAGAAATAAACGAGTCTCGAAAACGAGCATACTGAGTCTAAGCAAAACTTTTACATTGTAATATAATGTTATAGGTAGTTTAGTAGTGAATTTTTGGCCCCACAGCATAAACCTAAACTTTTCCACTTTTCCACTTTTTATCTGTAGTAAAAATATCTAAACTTAAAAATTAATTTTGTTTTCTATTTTTTTTTTTTCGAAAACCGAGTAGCTTTCGGGTACCATCATAGCCGGTTGTTGTTTTATTTGTTCGCAAATAAACAAGTGGTAAAAGTCATCGTCTATATGATAGGAAACTATCCTTTTAAAATTCGATTATTATATACGTAATTGTTTCGTGAACCGTGTATCCAACCTCTAATACCGCGTCCGGTGTGTCAGTAGCGTGTGGTGAAAATTGTTATTTAAAATAATATGTGATATATAATATTATTATATATTATAACGTAAAATATCCAGGTTATGAAAAGTCTAAAATATTTTTAAATTTTTTTATTCTTTACTTCTCGATGTTACGACGCATGATGTTGGTAGTTCTGCTGCCAGTAGCCTTGTTAGATTTTTATTCTATATAGGCTGTATTATGTACATGGTAATTCATCAAGCATGCTCACCCAAATTTGGTTCTTTAATAATAAATTGGTTAAATTACAGAGATTTTCTATTTTTAGTATGTAAAATTAACAAAGACCATCATTTCAAACACTTGATAATTAGTAGTGCATTTGATGAGTATAATGTAGTGACCCGTGTCCATATAAACTTTTTCGTTTAAATGAGAACCATATTTTTTTATTGCGATTTGCTATGGAGATTATTTTTGTATTTTTATTTTAATGGACCTACTTATATGAATCGAAATTTGTACAATTTGTATTTTCTCAATTATTTAACTCTGTGTACCTACTAAGGATAATTATAGTCCACTTTAATAGGTTTTGAGATATGAGTGTTATGAATATTTATGATGAATTTAAAACAATGGTACTTAATATTAATATATTGTTAATACGATATTAATAATTTATGACGAATTGTAATGTATTAGAATTTTATAATTATAATAATTGGCCGAGTATAATAAGTACTAGACTAAATATTAATTATTAGGTATATTTTATATTTGATGTAAAACCATTTTATCACAGTGATTATTATACTGAGTATAAAAAGTGTAACAAGTAACAACTCAAAACCTACTCATTAGAATATCGAATGAAATGTACCAACATTTTCAATGAAATAATCCACCTAAAGATTCACAGTAAATACCTAATGGTGGATGTAATTTGATTAGACTAAGCGCCGCTACAGGCCGCTCATTAAATAGTATACAAATATAAGTATCTAGGAAATATTTTTTTTAAGTAGGTATATTTAAAAATTTCAAAAATCAGAATTAATTGTATATATGTGCTGTTAAAGGATAAAATAAGGAGGTGAGCATTATTGGTGAATTACCCTGTATGTTTAATGTTTATATTTTATATATATATACATATACGTGTCAATGAAATTCAATACCATAATATAAATATTAAATACTACATGTTACGTATATCGTGTACGTGTATTTTGAGCACGGTATTTGCATGTGAAAAAAAATAGTTGATATTAATAACAAGATACATTAGAATATTTAGCCAAAACAATATTATTGTTCCAGCCGTTCACATGATATCTTATAAACCAATATTTATATTATTAAAAACTTGTGGTAAATATAGGAAATAATAACTATACAATATTATAGTTACCTAAAATTATTTTATTTTACTTATTTAAGTACACACTTTCTATACTTTCTATTGAAATAATTTACTACATTCACATCAAATAATTAATATTTTTGATATTCATCGAGAGAAAAAAAAAATGTCGGAGATTTATCGATACAAACTTAGACAAAAAAACTTATACAAACTACTGAATTTATTATGATTTCTATATATTGATAAAGTCTCGTTAAACATTGATCCACACGCTACTTAAATTACTCGTATACTTATATCTAATTACTAATACGATTCATTTAGTTATTTGATGTACTTAATATAAATATATTATTATATTATAATAAAATTCGTTCGTCGTTAGTTTTTTAAAATTTTTTTTTTTTTAATATTTTTAACACTGATATAGTTTATACGGGTTAGCTGATTACCTCCGAAATTTTTTTTTATTATAATATTTCTATTATATATTATAATATATTTATGTATTTATCAAGTGATGAAAAAAACTTTCTACCCTAATGAAGGGTATCTCCATATATGTGAGGTCAACAGCTATAGACAACCCAGCATGATAGATAAATTAATATTTCGATGGATATAATATAATATTAATGTCATAAACGTTTTAGTTATCATTATAATTATAACTATATAGAAATCGGTCAAGAACCCCATGATGAAAACATTAATCGGCATGTATAAAAATGGCTTATTCTTTTTTTTTTTTTATTTAACGCTTATTATAAATATGGCATGGATGCATGGTGCATAATATTTTGTATCGTCGTCGTACTATGTGCTTGTTATTCGTGTGGTTTGCGCATGTTAAGTTTTCATTTTTATTTTTCAACAGCCGACACATATTCTGACAAAAAAAAAAATAAAAAATATATACTTAATAATCACATAGAATTCTTTGCGATTCCAAAAAAAACCCGTCTAATGCTCGTCCGTGTTTTTAACGTGCAGGTTGTGCTTCACTAAGCTGAAACTTCTGCTGTTGGCCATAGAAATAAAAGGCGAGGACGGACGGGACAGCAAGATATCAATAAACCCCAGAGGTTCCAAGATACAGGCGAGCACCCAGGGGTTCTTCATCGCTCAGTCAGCCGACGAAGTCAAAAGGTTTGTACGGTTTATTGTTGGGCGTGCCGAAGTGCGCTGTGCATCGATTTTACACAATTTTAATTAAGTAATTAATTTTTTTTTGTCCACTAACTGGGCATTGTTCGTTTTTAAAATCACGTAAACGTGGTCAGAACACTTAGGTACTCGTCATCAGTCCCTCTAGAGAACATAATATTTTTTAAAATTATATATTTCAAGAATAAATACCGATGTCAACATTTCGTTGAAGCGTCGCGTCTTCAGTTTCGGTGTTTTTATATTTATTATGATTACTAACAAATAGTTAGAAAGCAATAAAGAGTTTTAATAAACGTCCACTATTAAGGCGGAAATTAAAAAGAATTTTTCTACTTATAATTTTCTATTCCATAGTAATTAACGACAATAAAAACTTGCGTTCGTGTTGCAAGTTGATTAAAATATTGAAAAATAAAATTAGGTACTCAAAGTCCGGTCTCAGATTTCAAGGGTCGACTGCATTAATATTATACATTATCGTAATACACAGAAGTCCTTCAAAATTACATATAAAATACACTTTGTTCTGTAGTATTAAATCTTCAAAGGAAATTTTTAATTTCATATTATTAAAAAGTATAGTCTTGTCAATGCATGCGGTAATTGTATTACTCGTTAATAAAATGGCGGCATATCTACCTAGTACCTACTACGCCCAAAGCGTATTATAATATTAAACCGTGGTAGAACATAATTTGAAAAAAAAATTATATGAGTAGTTAACAATAATTATTTAAAATACTGCGTGTTTGTAAATAGTATAATTTTGTCATTATTTTATTATTTATGTGCGTTTAGGGCTTGGTATTACTGTAAGGCATGTCACGAAGAAATTAGAGACGAAACGCTGATCAAGAAGTGCAAGTGCAAAAACTGTGAGTATCATTCGCGATAGTTTTTTTTTACAGCCCTATTGTGTATGTGAATCTTCAAATGCACTGGTCGACAAATCTATATATTATGTATACCTAAGTATAAAGTGTCTGTACTATTTCTTTTATTTTCCTGCGACATAAATGATTGTTATTGTCATACCTATATACTCGCATACCTACCATATTATTATTATGTATATATATATTTGTATATATATATATATATATTTATATTTTTTAATGCAACCTTGCGAATAAACAAAAAACCACATCTTTTTTCATTCTTTCATATTTTTATTTTTTTGTTTTTTGACTAGCCCACCCATCCCCCGCCGCTGTAGACCGATTTACTGTGCGCCGGAACAATGCAACCTATTATTATAAACTTATTTAATTCATAAATTCGAACCACGTTCCTATACAATTACGACCAGTATTGTTGTGTGTATTAAGACTTTAAGTTCGGGCGCATATTAAATTGACTTGTTTTTCAATACGAAACAAAAACACTTTTGCCCATTTGCACTCCAAAGTAGAACGAAATGTATACACACATTATTATATTTTGTTTAACGATATATGTGTATAATATATATATTTTATATTATATATATAATATTTATAATACATCTACATTCTACATACATATGCAATATAAATGTATATAATATTGTATACATGTATATTGTACGTTGTGTATATAATATATTAAATATAAGCCATATACATACATATTATTTTTATTTTTTGTCCACCACCTGAATACCGCTCACGACGATCACACGTTTTACGAGCTTAAGCAGCTTTATATTTTATTTATTTTTATACATATCGTAGAATTTTTTTTTCTTCCATTACACAGCTATGTAATAATATATGCTGCATGTAATGTAACAACAGGACTACTACACTACCTGTAATAGTTTTTTGTTTACATTTTTAACACATGTTATTATTATCATCAAATAAAAATACGATAATATCCGAAATATTCTGAACGGAAATTAAAAAAAAAAAAAAAAAAAAAAAAAAACATAATAATATTATACTGCAGTTGTAAAAATATATTATGCGATTTGTACGCATACAAAATCCCCCGAAAAAATGTTAAAGTTAACAATATTATGTTGGTTATGTTTTTTTCACATAAACTGTTATTACTATTACGTTCGAGTATTATAGAGACAGACACCATGTTACAGATGTCGGTATGATTATGATGGAGACTGGAATGTTGGCACATAATTATAATTTCGAGGGTACTTATAAAAGTTTCAAAAAAATATAAAAAGTTACATGTGTTTGTGTTTTGAAGTCCGCTTGCCTGAATACGTCCATACATACCTGGTCAATAACAATTTAATATAATGTTTTAACCAAATATTATAACGTCTCGTCCGTATATATTATAATATAATTGTTTTTTTTTATCTTCGTAACCGTACAAATACTGTTGGGTTCCGAATTAATATTGTGCAATTTTGGTTAGCCGTAATAACAATCGTTAAGATGAGGTCCGGAAGTCGATACCGTTGAAACAAGTGGCTATTATTTGATTACCAAAAATATATCGTGTGCGTTACACATACGTTATACCTAAATAGTTAATTTTAATATTTTACAATACATTTTTATTTAACGTATTTACCACCACTCCAAATGTAAGTTCCCTTACCTAACGTTGAATTTTATTGAGACTTTTGTAAATAGGAAATTATTTAGGGCGTCTATATTTTCAATACGCATAATTTATTATCATGTCTGTATACAAGTGAAACTACACTTTATTATGACTATTGTTCGGAATGTAAATATCAATAAATATTGCTTTTATAACACGTTTTTATTATTTGATTTATCCAAGATTATTTTTATTTCTAAATGTAATATATATTTTGATTTTAAATATTTAACGAAACTATATAAATGTAAACCATATTAGGTACAAATTTACTGTACATAACTATAACTATTGAGAGAAATTAACAAGTACGTCCATTTTATAATTATTTGTATTTCAATTAAGATTTCTATTAAAAAGTAGTACTTACCTAACTATTGTAATTCACGTATTTAAATTATATTTATTCAAACGTAAATTAATTGTATAAATCGTAATAATGCTACTTGAATCACTAATTATATTCTGTTAAAGTGAATAGTACAAGTAAAATCGTATTTGTATTGTTTATACAAACCGGTAATTATTAATAAAATAGTAAGATTAATCTGATTTGAAGTTGAAAACTTTTCCTAAATAATAGATTTAATTTTTTTATAAATACTAATAAATTTGAGTGTTTAAAATAAATGTTTTGAAATTTTAAGACGTATCGATTAAGTCAAAATTGTGATCAACCTCCGGTCCTTGTTCGTGAGTATGAGTGTGTACTTTGTATGAATGTCTATTGCAATTAATTCTAATATTGGAATATTAATTCCTTTTTTTGTTTTTTAAATATTAGCGATTTAATTAAAATTATAGAAATTAATTACTCATTTACTAAATTAAGTTTTCCGGTTTTATATAAACATGACTAAAAATGTGAGATTGTTTTGTGTGTATTTGGACTGAAACTAATAAAACGTTTTTCAGTAGCGTATAAATGACAATAAAACACAATAATTTTCACGTTTTCAATTTTTGTTTGTTTTTTTTTCTAATTTTAACACAGTGGCGACATTCCGGAAAGGCGTTCGCGCTATACAAATGGTCGGACGGGCAAGTACGTTCAAATTCTCCTTAAATCAAATTTCTTGTTTGTCTACGAATTGATGCCTTTTTGATTAATTTTTTAGCTGGTTTTCTATAGTTAACAAATATTGTTTATTTATATAATATATATATATTTATTTATGTGTGTATCTGATGTATACAATATATGGATATATGTATTATATATCTATCTATAATATCTATTTTATAAAAATGTATTTTCCTCTTGATTTTTAATCGGCAGTGGGTTTATTTTTCTTTCGTATTTTCTGTGCTGTTGAACGTTTTACTTTTGTGTGGTTTTTGTTTTTTCCCTTTTTACGCTTTCTACCTGAAATAACCAATAATACCAAGTTAACCTTCATACAACACAACCTATCGTAGGTATTATTTGTATTAACAAAAAAAAAAAATAATAATAATAACATAACGATCACAATATATTGTTTAATACATTGTAATGAGCAATTTTTTTTTTTTTTTGTTGTACTTATGATGTCTGTTCAATAAAAAAAAAACATTACATAACGCTTAGGACATATATAGTTGGTATTACAAGCAATCAGGCTGACTTATTTTATACTCACACGAGTAGTTAAGTATCATTTACGAAAATGATAAATTATTCATCATTTTTCTTTTATTTTTATTTTTAGACTTAACTATCGTAGTTAGTTTTGGGATGGCTGTTGCATGTTTTCATATTGGGCTCATTGTTTATTACTATTATTCCGTAGGTATATTAGTTAGGTCGATTAGGTTAGCATGCTTTGTAATATTTGGGTACCTACGTAATGAAAACCATTTTCAAAGTTATAATAAAATATGATTAATATTGGTTTTTCTATTATATTATTGGTCGACCGGTATAGATAATTCGTATCTGTTAGTTTTATATTTATTTTTTATTTTTATTTTTATTTTTTCAAACACAACTTTTTCGCTAATATTGATTGTATTATATTATGTGTTTTTCGGACAATTTGTTCTCAGAAAATTGTATCAAATTCAACGTGTCTTATAAAAGTACGCAATGACGTGTGAAAGCACGACGTTGTCTTCTTTGACTTTGTTTTCATCCTTGTATTCCTGCTATAAGATACCAACGGATACTCTTGACTGGGAAAATAACCGATGGCGTAGATCATATTAATAATATTATCTTGGCCGGTTATCACATCCACGTTCGTAGTATATTATTATACTATATTATAACAACACTGCCGCAGGTCAGCCGTCGCCGAGAAATACAATCGATCGACGCTCGAATAAGGAACGATGAAACTATAGTCGGGTCTCGGATGTCTGAAATCTCGGGGGGGGGGGATACAAATTACAAATACATTCGACTTGTGCATTCTTCGAATTGCTGTAGATAGCTCAAATACTTCTCAAGGGGCGAAAAAACAGTTTCGACTAATCGATGTTTTCGAGTTATCGAGACTAGGTCGGGTTTTTTCCCATCGCTATAGCGGTACCTACCTATTATAGGTATCGCCATAGTAATTTAGAGCACCTGTATATTGTTGTTTGCCCGATAAAACAATATATTAATAATATGTATACGTAAATACGTAATATACGTGTTTTACATATACGTTATACGGGTGCACCATAATAATATTATTATAGTGGGCGAACCGCTCATCCAATGTCACATTAAACGCCTATATTTAGTTGGCCGACCCGCGAGTGAAACGCGAGAGGAGCCGATCCGCGCACGTTTTGGTTTCCTCCGAACAACACCGTTTCTGAAGCAGAGGAGGTGCTCACACACACACACGACGACGACGTTTATTGGCACTTTCGCATGCCGTCGAAACATCATCGAAATCGCGCTGCGGCTAAAATACACCGTATAAAATACCGAGTCGTCGAGGCCGTTTCTTGTGTGTGTGTGTGTCAGACAATGCGGACTCAGACCCCGGCGGCGGCGGCAAAGTTTTTGGCCCTCGTCCATATTATTGTGTTGTGTGCAGTTGTTGTAGTACATAATATAGGTACCTATTATAATAGTATACGAATGCGCGATTGCTGCAGGTGAACTTTTACATCCGGAGATTGATTATTATCACAAGCGTTTTTTTTTTTTTTTTTTACTACAAATTACCATATAATATTATCATAAATATTAATGTTATTATTATTGTGTTATTTTTCGACGACGATAAAAATATAATATAAAATTATGGCGACCGTTTCGTGGGTTTTGCGTGTTTGCTGCTGAAGATGCACGCATAATATCATTGTGATATTAACCTCGCATTATAGAGTTGCATGGTCTTTTTCGAGTACTGTTTATTTTTCCGTTTTGTTATTACTAGGTATTGGTTTATTATTATTATTTGTTTGAACATATTTGGATGGTTTGAAGTAAGTTAGTAATAATATATTGAAAACCGAAGAAAAATCACCGTAGATTAGGTGTGGGTAGAACTGAACGCGCGTTGGCTTGACCTCGATATGACAACGCGCCGGCAAACAGATATTAATAATAATTATATTAATATAATTCATTATTGAAGGTGTTTTCTCAAAACTATAGGTACGCTTTCGTATTATGATTGTATTTGCAGAATTTTATTTTTGAGTCTATCCACCGATAATCGTAATTTGTTGGTGAACTACCATATTGTCATATATTTGTGTTGTGGTGCGTCGTCGTTACTATTCCGTATAGCTTGTTTTGAAAATGTTGGGTTCATTAATTGCTTATTGATTAATAGCAAAATAACAAATCGCGATTAAATGATTTCATTATATTATTATCTTCTGTGTCAAAAAAATACGCAAATAAGATGTACAGTATACAACTGTATAAATCGATGAATATAACGAGTTCATCGTATTATAAACTTAACTCAATATTGTTCTCGTTGCACGGTAATACAAATTAAATGTATTCAAGTTGGGTTCAATCTTCAAACAAATATATTGACAACTTTATATTTAAAATCGATAAAAGTGAATTAAGTACCAATAATGATAAGGTACAACCATAATAATATGATCACAAAACTTTGAATATTTTCCTCGTTGATATTTTCATTCACTATATTAATATAAACTTCGTTATACATTTCAACTAGATTAATTTAATTAAGTACATTAAACAAATAATATCATTTTACTACATCATAGTTAAGAGTATTCGTTGATATAATTAAATATTTTATTTTTCACTCCTTTGAAAATATACGTCACGTTAGGTATTTAAGCAAGATAAATGCATATAACCTACAACAGATATAAAAAAGAAATAAAATGTTCGATAATGAATCCAAAATCAGTTCGTAATTTAATTATCATCGATCAAATTACGTGGTTTTTGTGTAAATTGCGTATGGAAATTTACTACGATTAATAATTTGTCCGCGTGTGTTTGTTGGGAATAAATGATGCAGCTATATAATACTTGAATATAATATCCATACATTTTATTTATTTTTTTTTTAAATAAAAACAATTATGTCGGTTAGTGAATTTTGGAATGTATGTTCTTTCAGACGATCATCCTCCCCCCACGGAAACTCCACCAACTCTTCCAAAGAGAGTACATAATATCAGAGGTACAATAATAAAAACAAAACAAACTGCTGTTGCTTTTGCCTTTATATTGTCTTAAGTGCATTGTGTCTTCGACGTGGCACTCTTGATGGTTCCTTCATCCCTCCATCTTTGTTTCATTTTACAATATCTATACAATTTATACATCCTTACACGTGTTTTTGTTCACAAGAAAAAAAAAACATTAAATAAATAAGCACATGTTATATATTATACAAACTCTCATTATGCGACACAACAATACGATTTTCTGCCAATTTTCACGATTAAAACTTAAATCTATTCGATTCCATAAACATATATATTTACATCTCAATCTATCCGTGTGAAATGTAAGATATATACATTCCCGTTTGTTTAAACATTGTTTTTAATTTATTTTCTTTTGTATATTTTATTTCTTTTATTTGTAGATTATACTATATTGATTTATACGTTTATTATGCTGTGTGCAATGTTATGCATCATAATAATGTATGGCGAATTATTATACACTCGCTATTTTATACTTATTATTTACAATTTTAATTGCTCTTGAGAACGTTGTTTTTCGAAGCCATAATATTTACGATTGCTTGATGTGCGCTGGCCTTAATTAAATTATATTATAATTATATTATTATTATTGTTATTATTATTATTGTTATTATTATTATTATCATTACTATTGGGTTTTGTAATATCGCTTTCGTGAAAATTGTTTGTATTTTTGGTTTTGGTTTTTTGAAGTGTTTTTATTTTGTGTATTTGACGTCTACTTAAAACTCTTACTCCCTATACTAACGCTTTTTAATAGTATTTTTATTTTTTTTTTGTTCAACCTTTTCTCAGGTGACGTCGGGAAGGAAAAGGAAATAACACGTAAGTCACCATAGAACACTGTAAATTACAATAATATAATCTAACCAAAAGCTTTTGCACAATGCACTTTGCCGCGCGTTTAAAAGTAAAAGCCCGCCTTCGCAAAGTTTATGGACCATTATATAACACTAATGCGAACCGAAGATCACCCGCAGCGCATGGTAGGGCCGATGCACACGGCATTTTGAGATCGGATTAAATTATCGTTGAAATGAAACTCACGAGAAAATACACGACGGACGTTATACCCAAATACATGATATAATAAAAATCATCTGAGCGGGTCATTGCCGGCGCGCGTTTAATAGAATATTATGTTCGTTTGCAGTTGTGCATCATGATACCTATGATTATATTATTATGAATGTAGTCTTATTACAATAATACGAGGCGTCCAGTGGTCGAAGTTGATCAGAATTATAACTAGAGATGATGTCGAGGAGAGGAGGGGGGTTATTAATCCAGTTTATTTGCGAATTCGTATATTAAGCCCCAGTAAAAACGTTATCGGTGATTAGTGATCACCTTTTATTATATTGGAGTACATCATATCATTATTCTGAGTCTATAGCATTAGCGACATTTCGGATATTTCGGTCTACTGAATTTCGGTGTCAAGTCTTATTATTAATTAATAAAACAAAAATTAGGCAACATTGTTTAGTGTAGTCCCGTCTATTATGTAAACGACTGGATTTTCAAAACCTAAGATGGATGCATAATTCAAATTAAATCAATAGAAATGTGGAAAACGACTCTAAAATAAGTGGATGGATGGCAACCCTCTTATGCCTACTCTACTGTCTTTACCCCACTTCGACCACTGGAAATGACGTCATGTAAAATTACAAGAGGATCGAAATGCGATAATGTGATCATCGACACCGTTTCGTTTAAAATAATCCGATGTCGAGCTGATCTGGCCCGGGGAGGTTTTTAAACTGCAGGACGACGATATCGTTTGCAAACATTTCTGCGTTTGATATCTACTCCTTCACTTTCACTCTCTTACGCTGGTGTTCTATCCTACCTTCTCATTATTTTGACTCATAACCTATGTAATGTAAAGTTATCGTTGTAAAACTTCTACGAGAAAAATGTCTACTCAGAAATTCAAGCGGGACGTTAGTTTTGATACCACTTAGACGCCACTAGTTTTTCGTATACGTTAGGTGCGATAATATATTTGCCTACCTCATTTAATCTAGACGACAGCTGCAGACCGACGTGGTTAAAACGTAATAATTATTGTTATACTTTTGTTACTTACACATACTTTATGAAACATTTCGTGTCCGTCATAAGCCATCGTCGAGTATACAAACGACGTTGAGAAAAGCTGTACAAGTAGGTATTTGATTTTTTACTCACGTGTTACCACACGAACTGTTTTCAACGCTATCACTGTTTAATCGCTGTTTTGTTATTTTAAACTACATTGTTTCTAAAACAGCTACCTGCGCCATTCGATTCGTACCGTAATATAAGTCGTCTAACATTGTTTCATATCTACTGTATAGGATATTAAAATGTAATTATAACAACATACGCTGTACCGGCTGTATAACTCATTAATAACAATAATACCGTCGTCGTCCTAGCATTTTATATCCTCGGTAGATTTCCCGGATGGGAGCCAACAATTTGTTATGTTCTCGATATGTGCTATCGATTACTTATACGGCCCCTCTCCTCTGTCCACGATTATTTGCTACATTAAGCGGAAGAGTTTACTGACTGTTACTAATATGGTAGATGTTCGTAGTTTAGCGTACCTACTTTTAAAGGACCCGGCAAAGCGTATTACACAGTTTGCTCGGCTGAAAACAGCACTATACTAATACAGCAAACACCCGTGGTGTACGGTGCATAATATATAGTATTCAAATATTAAGGCGTGGTTCGAAAAATGTGCTGGCGTCAGAGGTGGCGTGAAATTGTGAAAAAGAATCGAAATTCGAACTTCGTAATGAGATACTGTATCGTGGGGATAGGGTGACGGTATTTTGAGATGAACCGTTGGCGAGTAAGACCGTATGCTGTGGTTAGTGGAGGTGGTGGTGTGGTAGGAATACGAGGGATGGGATAAACCAGCGGAGAAGATTAAGGGTAGAGATAAATTACCGGCTCTAGTTCGGACAGTTTTAGCCGGGGAACGGTGCACAATGGCAGAGAGAGAGAATTGTTTCGACGTTTGCCAACGGTCTTTGTTTGGTACATCGTTAATACAAATTCGGTGGAGAGAGAAAATCGAGCTAAGGACGTGGGTAAAAGTTTTAAGGGGGATTTAGGACGGCTTGGTGTAGGTGGTAAGACGGGGATGTTTCGAAAGAGAAGCGAGAACCACCAAAAATAGAGAGAATAAAATATAAAACCGTTCACGAGTTCCACGACGTTATGTTCACTTTATATTTACAGTGTTGGGCAACAAAAATACGCCAACGGCAATGCCTAATTCGATAATGTCGGCGGCGAAACAGGTGAACAAAGTGAAGCCAATCAACCGTCCGACGGACAAAGGGTCGCCCAACCAAAACTACAACCGGTGAGATACATGGCCTTTTAAAAAAAAAAAAAACCAATACGACGTGAATTAATATTACAATAATGTACGAACGATGTATTCGGCCTTTTTTTTTTGTTTTTGTTTATTTGTTTTTTATTATTTTTAATTTTCGTTTTCACACTAACGAATTCTTAACAAATTCTATTGCATTAATTCCTCACACGATTCCGAGCTCTAACACATACTTTATCATACACATATAATATAACCACGTCATGTGGTTCGTTATTATTATTATTTTTTATTTATTGATTGTTTTCCATATTTCTCTCCTTTTTTTGTTCGGTGTAAATTAAATGTTTGATCGTGGTCGTCTTGAATATATTGCAGAGCTCAACAAGAAGAAGGAAGCTACGCCGGATATCAACTCGCATACGAAGTTAAAAAATTATTGTACGCTTTCTACTTAATATATTATACTATTCCACCACTCTTGTCCTGCTTGTTTCTATAATATGTTTTTATTTTTTCAATCCTTTGTTGTTTGCTTTATACTATTAATTTGCTTGACTTATAGATATATTTTACGTTTGTAGCTCGATCAGTTTTTTTTCAATTATTTTTTTATTTGATTTATTGTCTTCTTTATGGCAAACGGGTCTTAAGTATTTGAATATTTGACACTTGGCTTATTTGAATTATTTTTCAAAAATTAAACTTAATTTCGCCTTTTTAAGACTGTCAATTGATTTTTATACGATTAAACTTCATAGGATTTTTTTTTTAATTGATGCAAAAGAATTATTTTGATAATATTATTGACGTGAGTTTGATTTTGATATAATTTTAAAAAAATGTTTCATAATTTTGAAAAATTAAAAACATAGTTACAATCATACTTTATAAATTAGTTATATCAATTATATTTTTTCAACACAATGTGTATGTTTCGTCGTTTGTAATTTATTTTATTAAAAATTAAATATATAATATAAATTATATATTATTTTATTAATTTCATTATTATTTTAATTATTATTATTTTTTTTTTTGTAGCGGCAATATTATCTTATCGATTAAAATATTATGTTGACATTATTACTTTTGAACTTGCTCATTGTGACTTGTGCTTAAGGCTAAATTAATCGAAAAATCTTTCATTATTTCCATGTGTGATTGAAGACCGACGACTAGAGGAGGATCGGCCGGCACAAACATAAACAGCAACGGTATTCAAATCGGTATCGCCGACGACCAGGCGAAAGACTTTGATTTCGAAAAGACTGAAATGAAGTACGACTCCACCGGCATGTTCCATTGGAGTTCGGCAAAAAGCCTCGAAGAATGCATCCTGGTAAGTTATGTTGTAAAAACGTACGCCGTTTGACAATGCGGTGTCGTAGTCACAGCTATCCCGCATACGAATGTGTGCGTTTTAATGTCGACAATTTAAATTATTTTCCAGGACAGGAACCAAGCCGCAATGACCGTATTGAACGGCCACGTCGTGGTGTGCCTGTTCGCCGATCCGGACTCGCCGTTGATCGGTTTAAGGAATTTAGTTATGCCTCTGCGGGCGTCAAATTTCCATTATCACGAGCTCAAGCACGTGGTGATCGTCGGCGCCGTGGACTATATCCGCCGAGAGTGGAAGATGTTACAGAATTTACCGAAGATTTCGGTGCTCAACGTACGTTTCTCGTCCCGTAGATTATTATTTTTTTTCTTCATATAAATTCAATCTCATATATCAACCATATCGCCCTCAAAAAGTGTGTAACTCGCAAATCAGTTTTTATTTATTGTTTTTAAATTTTCAGGGATCGCCACTGAGTCGAGCCGATTTGCGAGCGGTCAATGTAAATCTGTGCGATATGTGTGTGATATTGTCGGCAAAGTTCCTAGCAATGACGACCCCACGTTGGCCGACAAGAGGCCAATTTTAGCGCGCTGAACATCAAAGCGATGACTTTCGACGACACCATTGGAGTGCTCACGCAAGGTAAAAAAAAAATAATAAAATAAAAGCGTTCATTAAATATTCGTTTAAAAGTGAATACAGCTGACACTGTATTTTTTTCACATAAAAAAACCTCATTTATTATTTTATGCTATCGTTCCGTCTTTATAGTGTCTATTGTATACTATTACTATAAAATCCATTCGAACAAATGCAAACATTTTTAAAATGTAAATCTCATCGGTTGTTCACATACAATTCTAACCTTTTCGAAGAGCTTAAAAAAGGTGAAATAATAAAATTATTGTCATTTTTAATTTTCATTGGATCTTCCATTTTATAATTTTAGATTTAAATTCACAAAGTTTTAATCACTAAAAGTTGTGTTCATTTGGATTCGTTTTAAGTGATTTCCAATTAAATGTTCGAATATCCACTCCTAATTTGTTTTAGAGACCGGTACGCATTCTCTAACAAATTAGTTCAGTGACTGTGTCTACATCACTTTATCTCGTCCACATAAAATACGATTTTATAAAAGTTAGAGAGCCCAGCCGAACGAGTTTAATTGAAAATGTATGTAAAATCGCTTTAAGTTTTCTACCGTACGAACAAAATTAATTGGAAAATGTATGGGATGTCGATTGGATCGAATAACAATTGAACCGACGCGATTCTACATAATGCTCGTGTAGTTAACTATTCTTAACTTTCATCACTTACGAATTCTTCATCCCGATTGACTATGTATACTTTTCTCTTGTGCATCGTATATAGCTACGGTCATTCTACGCCACACAAATACAAATTAAGCACTCGTTTTTACTTACTTTTTAAGATAAAAAAAAAAAATCAAAATTGATAGATTGCATTAGAGTTGGTTTATGGATATTTTGAAGTAGAACATCGGCTAAGTTTGTGATGACAACGAATATATCACGAAGTCACCACTAGTAATAGCATGTCATAAATTTTGTTCGATTATAAGGAGTCTTAAAGCTCACTGAATTTAAAAATGATATAGCATTAATTATAAAAACGATAAACCTTTAAATTTTTTATGTAGAACTTCTAGTAAAGCTTTGCGATGGAATTTCACCTACCTATATCCAATAAAAAGTACTTAATTATGAAATATAGGTATGCAATATTATGTATGTGAAGCCTAGTATAGGTGTAGTATATTAAATATTGTAAGGTACCTATTTAAATATTTTTGAACAATTTATCATTTTTGTTTTATCTGAACTATATTTTGGAAATATCACCCGAACACATAAATAATGAAATGTATAATAATATTATACTATACAAGTGTTATCAAAAACTACACATTCACATTTGATTTGGTTTTGGAACTTTGTGCAGACGAGACAGCGGTGACCAAACAGTTCGATCCGGACGGTCTGAACTGCGCCGGCGGGCCAATAGTGTTGCAGAGACGAGGGTCGGTGTACGGCGCCAACGTTCCCATGATTACCGAACTGGTCAACGATAGCAACGTGCAGTTTCTTGACCAAGACGATGACGATGACCCCGACACCGAGCTGTACCTCACCCAGCCGTTTGCGTGTGGTACAGCCTTCGCCGTCAGCGTCTTGGACTCGCTCATGTCAACGGTAAGTGACATAGTATAATAATAGTGACATAATAATTAATAATTAATAAATTATTATTAACATTATAAAATAACTTCATCGAACGTAGAAAATATATATTAGAAAATAAATATTCGCCTTCGCGGTCCAAATGAAATAATATATTATGACTCCGAATGAGGGACCTGTCACTCACAATGCCCTGCTCACCCCAAACATTATATAGATATAAATTAGGGGAAAAAAATACTTAAACGTATCTTTTTAACGACGGGCACATGGGTTAAAGCGGGGGTGGAGAGCAACTTAGCCCTTAAAGTCGAATTTTCCGTACCATGTCTGATTTTGCAGCAACGAGTGTTATATGAGCAATGAGCATGTGACATTAAAATAATTCGACAATGGCAAATATAATATTATAATATTGAATGAAGTACTAATTTGTTTTTGTTTTTAGACGTATTTCAATCAAAACGCGTTGACGCTAATCCGATCGCTGATCACCGGTGGTGCGACGCCCGAACTCGAACTCATTTTGGCCGAAGGAGCGGGTCTCCGCGGTGGTTACAGGTTAGTTCAAGTATTTGTAAACGTAGTAGGTATATTTAATTGTAGAAACTCACTACACGAATCAAAGACCAGACGGTTAACCCGGGCGATGAGCCATCGATTACGTATCGTGAGCGTTTCGATTTATTCTGCGCCTGGCCATTCGCTATAGTGTAATAAATAATAACAGCGCGCTCGGTAAAGTTTTTGAGTTAAAATGTACTCCGGGGACGGTTCATGGGTATCGCAGTTGAAACACGCAAACGACCTATTATAATATGACAGAGGTTATTATTATACGTACTGCACAGCCAGTAAAATAACGCATGTCGGCAGGCAGTTATCGTGTTTTTTGGTTTTTGGAGAACACACATGGAATGCCTGAAGTATATGTATAATAGTGTCGTTATTATTTAATTACAAATAATAATGACATGGAGGTACCGAAATCGAGTGTCGGTGAAAAGCGTTTGTGAGAATACGATATTATTATTAGTGTATCAAGTACATTGTAGCTCTATAAAATATTAAAAAGCACATCAAATAAACCAAAAAATTAATGAAAAACCGTAAAAAAAAACATAGAAAATCTTAAATAAAGCAATACTAATTATATACGCAATTATATTTTTATGAATAATAATATAGGTACTCCAAACTATGGCAAGTACAAATATATCATTAAAATTCTTAAATTAGATCACGTAGCTGTGCGGAACGAGAAATCTTAATTTTTCGATTTTCTATCAGATAATAATATAACAACATCAAATTATACTGAAATAAAAAATTCACTCGTGACACGACTGAACGGTTGACGTAAAACAACTGATTACTTTTAAAACGAGTACCTATACTGTTACAAGTATTCCGTGTCATATTCATAGATTAAACATTCCAAGATAAATTCAATTCGAACCGTTCCGCAGACATTATAATAGAATATGAAATTAAATATTAACCATTCAAATATTCCAAATACGTTGTGGACATTTTACAAATTACATTTTATAAAACGAAATATTCGAAAAAAACTCCATTTTAGCAATGGAAAAGTGGAAAGGCGTGTTGCTTTTATACGCATAAAATATTATAATAACAGTGGCGTGAAAGAAAATATCACATAGGTATGTAAGTGGCCGATCCAGGTCCGTCGATAGGACACACGCACCTACTACCTAATGGAGCGAGTTCCCATGAAATCCAAACTCCTGCAAACCGTTATAAGTATGGAATATTCCATAAGTCGATTTAGACTTCGCGATCTCTATGCTCTGGGATAAAATGCATTTATCGTCTTTCTAATGACGCCCGTTGTTTTTTCAGCACCGACGAGAGCTTGGCAAACCGCGATCGGTGCCGGGTCGGGCAGATATCCCTGTACGACGGGCCACTGGCGCAGTTCGGTGAGGCCGGCAAGTACGGCGACCTGTTCGTGTCCGCCCTCAAGTCGTACGGGATGCTGTGCATTGGTCTATACAGGTACCGGTATGAACAACTAACTATACATGTTTTGTAGTTTGCTATTAACTTTAAGTGCCACATCCGCAAAACGGATTAACAGGGGTCCCGGATCCGTCCCCGACACACACGATCGTGATATCATAATTATTATAATATATTATTATTATCTCGTACGTCGTGCGAATTTAATTTTCCACAGCATCGCCGCGAGGTGGAGTGTGGGACACTTAGTGTTCGGATTCCATCGAAAGTTGTTATCGTTGTTTGTGCTAGAAAAACGTTTCAGAAACGTTCAGTAACTGCAGGTATACAAAATAATAAAAAAAATATATTTTGAAACCCACAAATTAGTTTGAAATTTAGTAATTAATTTATAGTAATTTTAGTAAGTAATTTGATCCTATCAGCATTTTCGGTTTAAAATTATTATATAAAGATTCAAAGATTCGCATTGAAGAAAAGTATTGGATATAAATATTTTTTTAATTATTTAAATTTTCCAGTTTTAGCGTATAATGTATTTCACAGGTATGGTATTTTATAATATAACGTTCACATTCCATATTATTTATTTGATCGCATTTTTCATTACAATTGATTTTTTCCGAAAAGTATGTACCTATATATTTTTTCGACAAACAACGAAGTAAAGATATAATCTTCACCAATTTTGCACTTAAGACGGTTTTCTAGCACAACAATGACAAACACTGTGTACTATGATTTATTTTATTTCATTAAGACTGATGACAAATATAATAAATGTATACCTCAATGTTACGAACAATAATAAAAATAATTTGAAAAACTTTTGTTTTAAATTTGAAATGAATTTGGTGACTTAACATGGTCGCCACTTTTAGTATGATATCACGACGGTTATTTGGTTTCCTCGAATAGAAGACGAATCGTATTACATACATCTTATTATAACATGCACACGAACACGTGACATGGCGACTGACAAACATGAATGCCATAACGCTACTACATCGTCTTATAACGAAATCGCGACCGCATCTGCAGTAATTTGTAACTACGAGATTGTAGATTGTTCGGGAGAGATCTAATTTGATTCTGAGAAATGATAAACCTGATAAAAAAATAAATAAAAAGATTGACTCAATGTTGTTTTAAAATTATATTTATTGTAAAATAATGAAGTTATGATTTATTGTAAGACTGGGATATGTGTTGTTCGAATAAAAAATAATGCTGAAGACACATGTAGGTCTTATTCAAAGAATTACATTGCACCGTGTTATAGTTTATAATTAACTACGTTGACACAGAATTAAGACTAAACAAAAATATTATGGCCATAAAATAAATAAAATATTTGTAATTCAACTATCATTATACTAGTACTATCAAACCAATAGACCAAGAATAAGTGCAGAAGACTATAAACTTCTTTCTAGGAAGGTACCGAAATATTATATCGAACAATATTAGTTCATTGCAATCTAATGACCAAGCTAAATTATATCGATAATAATAATTTATTCAACACAACACTAACGCCGAGTTCACTGACTAAAGGTTGTTTTTTTTTATTAATTAAATATAGTTAAAGTATTACAATTTTTTTTAAAAAAAGACAATTTTTCGTTTCATATTTTGTACTATAATAATAATATTATGTTGATACGGATTTATGGGACTTAATAAAGGTCGCCTACTTCAACATTGACTTGATATTAACAGGTCATGAATTTCCACTACCTAATACGATTTAAGGTCATAATATTGTCTATAGTTTATAAATTACTGAGTCACTTGAATTGAAATATAATAGTACAATAATATATTTGAATATAAATACTAAGTGCACAATATTCGAAACATATTTTGTAATTTAACAACACAGTTATTTTTCAGTAATAAGTCATAAGACGTGCAAAAAATAATCCTAATTATCACACCTATAAATGACAAAGTTTTAAAATCATTTGTTTTATTTATCTGAGAAATAAAATTGGATATTGGTTTCTCGGGATCATATTAAATAGTACTTCAGCTTTCCCGGACAAGCTGTCATTATGTAGTTATGGATACGGACCGTGGTTGCGATGACAATTTATTGAATGGACTTATGATTTTAGATTTTTAAATTACGATTGAAATCATTACGATCGATTTTCGATCAATTGTCGACTTGTCCATATTCGTCAGCGTATAGACGCAATTTCAGCCGTGGAAATGGTGGGCGTGTGCATGTGGACAAAAAGTCTACTATAATTTTTGCTTTAATATTGTCGTTTTGATGATATCATAATTGCACGATACACCTATGCTGTCGAGGAGACGAAACATATTATCTGTTCGTCGGGGCCGAATCGACAATGGTCTGAAATTATTCGAAGACGCACAATTTTTTTTTACAAACAACCAGCTTTTTTAAATAGGTGTTGGTGCCTAATAAATACATGTATGTTTAATGCTTTTTCACTTTGTGTGTAACAACAAATTTAAGAGAAAAATATTGTTCTCTACAGAGTGGTTATTTTATCGAAGAACAATACATTATTAGTTCAAAAAATTTAACTTTAAATTTAACGTTTTTGAAAATAATATCTTACATATTATTTTAGAGTCGTTACAAAATAACAAATTTGAAGTTATTTAAAGAATTGTTGTCATTTTAAAATCAAATTTTGGCTAGTATTTTATGAGTCTTTAAAACTTTGATGAACAACATTTTACGTGGCACCCCTTTTACCACTCGACTCCACTGATCAACATTGAAAATAACTTCTTAGAAAATCAAAAGAATCGTAATAGTATAGGTACTAGTCCAAAATTTTATTTTTATAAAATATAAATCAAAGTTCTCCAACAATTATTTTATTTTAGAATAAAAAATGAATACTGAATGTTTTCGTTTAAAAAAGTAAACAATGATAACGATAAAAAATATAATTTTTTTTTAATAATGTTTAAAAACTTAACATTTTGTAATAAAAATATTTCCGTCAACACTAACTGTTTTCGGAACAGTGATTGTTCTTCGATAAAATAATCACTATCATATTACAAAAATATCATACAAAACTGTCCTCTTGTCGTCTTTCGGTTCAGACCGGACCCCTCTTAATTCACCCCTCCTCCTTCACCCCGTTTGCATTACTGCGTGTCTGTGTGTATGTCTGTGGTGTCGGTGTACTCTTAAGTTATACTGTTTGTGATTGTCATCCCTTTTTTGGGTGTTGTAACGTCGGCGACCGGACGTCGCTATTCTCATCCGATCTCTTCGGTGTTCTTACAGATTCAGAGACAGAAGCTCGTCTTGCGACGCGTCGTCGAAACGATACGTCATCACGAACCCACCGGACGATTTCTCGCTGATGCCCACGGACCAGGTAACATATCTTATGTTAATGTAACCGTCATTGTCGATTTATTATTTTATTTCTAGTGTGTGTAATCACGAAGATTCCAATAATTACACTACATAGGTGCGACTTATCAGTCGGCGCGCAATCTTTATAACAAACCAATGGGACGTTCTATTTTTACTTATATCGTACATTATTTAGTAACTGTAAAAATATATCATAATTTCATGTGAGAAATTGTTTTCGAGAAAAAAAAATGTTCCTGGTAAACAATATTAATTTCTCGATCACTCGAGTCTATGTTATTGACGAAACTCGCTTCGTAAAATATATAAGTTTTGTCGGCATGAATTTCGTATTATAGAGCGTCGTTCCAAAATAAAATCGTAGGTAGGTAGTCAAAAACAAATTTAAAAAAAAAATACGTTTTATCATTGCGGCGCTCGTCTTGAACACGTTATCCGCTTCGAATCGAAACCCCGCCGTGAACCGACGCATTTGTTTCATATTATATTTTCAAACCTCTCCACGACGGACAGACGGACTGCGTCAGACAGGTCCGCTCTGTGGCTGCAATCGCTGACGGTCGATTAAGATTCACACAATTTAATAGTTGCGGGCGGGCGCGTGTAAATTTATATCCCTCCTGCTGCGGCGGCGTTCGTAGGCAATATGATTCGAAAACTCGTTCTATTCTGGTACGTACCGGGTCACAGCTTCCAACGATGCGCAGCGTACTCTTTTACCCGAAAATTGGCGCCGGGCCAAGACGACATCGCATCCGCGTGCGCAAGTGCAGCGTGGCAAGTTCGGCGATTATTCGTTTTGAACGACGAGGGTAGCTGTTATATTACGTCACGAATAAGGAGCGGTGGTGCTCTCAGACGCATTCGGATATACTATTGTTATCAGTGGCAGATCCAGGGGGGGAATTCCCCTCCCAATCACCGTAGTTTTTCTTTGTTTTACACTGTGTTAAGCATATTTTGTAGCCAATTTTGGAACTTTTTGCACTTTAGCCCCCCCCCCATGTTCCTCCAAAATTGAGCCCAGGATCCGCCACTGATATAATCATTATCATCAAATCGTACCACCTTATATAATTAATCATTCATAATGAGATATATTGTAATATTGTGCACGGCAGTCGGCGGTTAACTGCAGGTGGAATCGAAAAAAATAAATATCAAAATCCATACCTACGTGACGAAAATTATTATTTTTTTCATTGGCGTTTGATGCTTTCGGGATTCGATTTTTAGCGACGGCAATGACGTCGTCATACATTTTTTTTTTATATTTTTCATCATTTATTAATAATAATTATTGTTTATGCGTCTCAGGTATTCGTGCTGATGCAGTTCGATCCCGGGCTCGAGTACAAACCCACCAGCCGGAACGGAGGACGTGCCAAAGACGACAACTCCTGACTATTGCTTTGTAGCGCTCTCACAGACGGTCCGTATTCGTACATCTAAATCGCATGGGGCCGGGCTCGATTGCGCGGCAATCGCACACGACAAACACGATCACTACAAACACGATCACCACAACCACCTCCACAAACACCTCCACAACCACGACCGCAACCACCACAACCTCCTCAACCACAACCTCCACGACCTCGGGCACCTCTGCCTCCGCCGAACGTGGCTACACTACGACGATTTTCTTCGTGTCGTCTCTTGTGTTCGTTTTCTGTAGCAAACGCTGATGTTTGTTCCGATGTCGATAAGCTCCCGTTTATCGACAACGCGAACGACAACACGCCGACAACCACAGCCTTTTCGACTCATCGACATCGGAACATGTTTGATCATCTGACCCCTACGCCAGACGTCGGTTAGGTACGCACGTGATCGTCGATCCAAACCACATCCTATAACACATATCCACCCAATCGCCGTGTTAAGATTTCACGTACACGTCTTTTGCGCATTCGAATACCTATGCCCACTCTCACACACACACACATAAATACACATACAAGCACATACACATACTCACATACACACACACACCAAATAATAATATGTACTTGCATGTACAGGATAGTTGAAATTTTATAACTTAGGGTCAAACCTACGATGTAAAATTTCTACGATCTGGTACAAGTACGTACCTACTCTTATGGGTGCGTGGCTGTGTGTATTTGTACGTGTCTGTAGGTGTCTGTGCGTGTTTCGGAGTGGGTTTGGAGTGTTTCGAAATACTATACCTGCGCGTATTGCTGGAATGGTCAGTTGTTCAGAGATCGCTCTGCGCGTTTTCGAAAATTTTTTTTCTCCTAGAGAGAGGACACAATATATGGAGAAGATACAAACGTCGCGGTCGTCATCATTTTCGTTACCCTGGTCAGGTTAACGGTCTGGTCCGGTTACACATTCGTTTCGATTCGCGGGTTCGATGAATTCGCGTGTCTTGATGACCGTCGTCGCCAGGAGTAACAATTTTACGTCCACTTTTTAAGTACCTCATGTCCCGATATGTATACAATTTATTCCCACCAATTTTTTTTTTCCGTTTTATTCGATCGTGTTGCCCACAACGTGTGCGCTGTCCCACTTTTCGAGCCTCGTCGCAGCGATTTAGACCGTAAACGGACCACGTGTTAGCGTTACACCCGTCGGTAACTTTTTCTGTACAGCATAAAATCTCGTTGTTTAATAGTTTACTTAAATAACTACCTACTTTATCGTTTATATAATTGTCTCGTAATCGTAAAATGTTATTATAATAATAATGTGTATTATGTAGAACACCAAAAGTAAAAGAAATATGTATAACGCTCGTTGTACGCTATAATGTTTTAGTATTATCAAGAGTGTAGTTTAAAATTATAATCGCCTATGTATATTATACAAAAAATATTATGAGAAAAAAAACCTTAGGAGAGCCAATTAAAAAAAAAAAATATTTAAGAAAAAAAAGAAAAACTAAAAAAAAAATTATGTTGGAATATGCTGTACCCTAATATACAGTATTATTCTTTAGAAAATTCTTTATATTTATAAAAAACAAAATTGTCATTTGTTTTTTTTTTATAATTGTAAATATCAAATGTAAAGTGGTTAAAAAAAAATTTTAGCGTGTAAGTTGAATAACTGTACATTATTGATTTCAAACATTATTTTATACACTGCGTTACCGAATTTATAATTGTATTTCAATAGTCTGAAAGTTATCATTTTTGAGAAAAAAAATATTTCGTTCATGAGCAGCTATATCTTAATTTTAATTATTTTTTTTATCATCTACTAAATTAGTACGATTTTTTATCATTATTATTATTATTATAATTATAATTATAACCATCATAAATCGCGGCTGTTTATGAATTCTTGTTAAAAATCATAATAATATTTTCAAAAATCACTACAACGGCACTAAAAGTTTTTTTACACGCAATTTTTGTATGAACTTAAAATTAAGTTCATTAAAAAAAAAAGTATATATAGGTATATATAAATTAAAGTGTTATAGTTGAAATTACAAAATCACTGTTCTATTTATTCAAAATTGGGGGAATTGGGGGGGCTTGTGGGGAGCTTGTTATTATAAAATATATTTTTTTTTATTGTTATGACGCGTTTTACATATTGCAATTTCGTGTAAACAATAGCAATACAAAATGAACAAATAACTATTACGAAAAAAAAAAAAAATTTATATCTATAAAAATACGAACAAAATATAATATTGGCTTTCTGAGACAATCAATATTTCTAAGGATAAACATGTTAAAATCTTATAAACCTTATCGCGCAATAGACAAAAAACCAAAAAAAATTTAACAAAATTAATAATAATTGGACGTTTTATTTCTTGAAATAATTATTATAAAAAAATTGCATACTTGAATCATAATGACGAGCTTTTTGTTAAAAAAATATCCCCTTACAATATAATATTTATGTACATTTTTTTTTTTTAAAAGACAAGTTTTGAATTTTAGTAATTTAAAATATCGCTTGAAAAAATTGACATCGTTTTTTTTTTTTTTTTTTTGTAATCAGTTATGTTTGAAATTATTGTTGTTATATTATTGTTGTTTATTGCTATTGAAATAAAATTATATAATAATAAAAAATACTTAAAAACTATGCATAGTATTGTTTTGTTGATTTTTGTATATGCAAAAAAAAATGACTGCTGAAAAAAAATAAAAATATATTATGCTTTTTCAATTCCGTGAGTAAATTTTTGAAAATATATAGGCCATCGTCATAGTTTTTAAATAGTTTATTTTCTATTAATGTGTTCATGGTGAATACAACGTTGTAGACAAATATATTATGAAAAATAGAAACGTTTTACTAAAAAACCAACTTAGGTAAAATATTGTTTGTGCGTAGATGACTTATTCTCATTGTAAATCGTAATTGTTGAGCAGCCAACTTTTCATTTACAGACAGTGAAGATTAACGTATGTGAGTATTAAAGTAGAAGAATATAATACAATACGTATTGTATGGTTAATAGTTGCAAAATATAAAAGTACTTTCATATTCAATTTTTCATTATTTTACCAAAAGAAATAATATGATGTTGTTAAATGTAATAAACGTCTTAAAAATATAATTCAATAAACGTTGACACCTTATTCTTGTAGTTTTAATATTGATAACAACAACCATACCGATAAATTAAATTTTTTCTGTCGGAATAAAGTTACGTCATGTCTTTCAAACTATTTTTTCTTTTTATTCCATTTGACCAATATGGAGTAGATGTACAGTTGTGTCTGAAGAGTATTATTACGAATCATTTTTATTGAAAATATTTGAAATTAAAAAAACAGACACCAAATCATACATTTATAAATTGTGTTTACTATTATTAGAATACCTATAAAATAATATCATATTGATTGTGTTTGGTTTTTCAACTTGAAAGCAATGTTTACTTTTCATCCATGTGGTACTACGACGACGAAAATGATAATACCATATTACAAGATATTTGCATTATTTAATTTTATATTTCGTACAAATATAAATGTGCCAAATGTACATACATTTTTGATTTTAGGTATATTATAATAACTACCTATGATTGTTATTTATTTATATTTTATTTGAAATTTTAATACACTAAAATATAAGATAAAAATATGACATGATAATGGTATTAAAACACCCAGTTTTATATTTTAAAGTTATACATTATAAATACTGTTCATTATTATTATTTTATAATTAGGGATAGTTATAAATACTTTTAAATTTATAATTTATGCTATTTTTAAAATAAAATAATGACAGTAATGAAAATGGTTTTTAAAAGTTAAATACATTTTTCTTTGAATAGATATAAATTATAATATATAAATAAAATTAAATGAAATTTTTGATAAAATTAAAATGTAATTAAAATAACTCATCAATCATTATCATGTATGCAAATCTATTTATTTATCTTTTTTTACGGTTTCAATTAAATGTTGCTAAAATAAAATGATTTTCAACAAAACTGCCAATCTTCCATACAAACATTAAAATTTCGAAGAATGGTAAGAATAAATTAGATAATAATTATTATTGTTGTACCGTTGATATTGAGTTCAACATTGGATAATATGCAATCGCATTAAAATAAATATAAATTGAAGCTTACTGATTTTACATTTTTGTTTTGGTGGGGTATGGGGTTATCCAGTCACTAGGACCATCCTATCTCACAATCAATTCCATAGCCATCTTTATCCATTGTCAAATCTTTCCAGTTTGACCATCCTACTAATTCTTCGACATCCCGCTTGACTGTATCTTCCCATCTCAGTTTCTGTCTTCCCGAGGGTCTTTTGCCTACAGAATTTGGTTTAGTACCGTTTTTAGTAGATAGTTTTGGCTCCTCATAACTTGGCCTGTCCATTCTTTCTTGCCTCAGTCTTCCTTTCTCGATAGTCTCTACGACCTCCTTTTCGTTATATACCTAATATATAAAATTCTCGTGTCATAGTTTTCGTTGTCATACTCCTCCGAAATGGCTTGACAGATTTTGATGAAATTTTTTGTGCATATTCAGTAGGTATGAGAATCGGCTAACATCTATTTTTCATACCCCTAAGTGATAAGGGTTGTCCAGAAAAAAATAAAAGAAGTGCTCAAACAGGGATTTTGATAATTTACGGTAGAAATAATTGTTTATAAATGGTTGCTAAGGTATTGGTTATATATATAAAAAAAAAAAAATAATAGATACAACATACAAAAATCTACGATCAACCCTTATTATAGGATTATTATATATCTGTGCAGAAGATATGTTAATTTAAAAAGGGAGAGGACCAACCCCGTGATCAGGTGCTCAAACAAAGATTTTGAGATTTCCGATGGAAATTTTTGTTTATAAATGGTTGCCGTTGGTTTCAAAGCTATAATAATAATAATTATTGGTTACCATTGGTTTAAAATTTTTGTTATGGTAA